AGTCACACCCGATGCAAAGGCTTGGCCTCCAGGAGAACTGCAGGAAGCTGAGTGTCGGGAGAACTCTGCAGAATGTGTGCAGGATGGATTCTGAGAGAGCAGACCAATCCCAAGGGGCACTCGGTGATCTGGGTCACGTGAGTCTGCCTGGGCAGTTGAGGGTCTGGAAGCTGGACTCGGTGGCCCCATGTTAAAACAGGGTCGAGATGCTTGAAATTCCTGCATATGATCTAGAGAAAGGAACTCAGCGCTGTGCTCTCTCCCAGTTCTGGAGGCTGGATGCTGTTGATCAAGGTGTCAGCGGGCTGGTTCCTTCGAGGCTGAGACTGAGGATCTGGTCCAGACTTCTGTCCTTGGCCTATTGACAGCCGTCTTCAGTCTGTGTCTCTCATACCATCTTCCCTCGACACTTGTCTGTGTCCAAATTTCCCCTTTTTACAAAGACACTCATCATACTGGACCAGGGACCAAGTATGAACTCCACGGTCCCATCAGAGCTACGGGGACTGAGGACTTCCGCATGTGAAACTTAATAGGACATAATTCAACCCAGGACAGATGGTGACATGAGCACTTTTAGAGACCTGATTTTGAACCCCTGCCCCTCCTTTTCCATTCTCCTACCTGGAGCACGGTTCTGATGGCTGGAGGTCCATTTCAGACCACCCCTGCACTGCGTGAGCCCTCAAGCTATCCATGTTTGTGCTGCTGTGACTGGGGCTCTGTTACACCTGCCAAACCTAGATGCTGGTACACCTGTTCCTGTGCCTGAGGGTGCTGTGTCAGTGGGATTCTCATGCTCTCGGGGCCTGGGACATGTCAGGATGGCCCCCCAATCTGTCTTGTGGCTTGTCATCAAGACCACTTCACGTTCGAGGGCCATTTGGTTGCAACATCTGTCACCCCACTGATCACCAGGGTTGATTTGACTGATCTGGCTGGCTGGGCAGGTGTCCCCTTCCTCCTCCGTGGCTCCATATGCTTCCCTCCCGAAGCTGCATGCTCATTCGAAGAGGACAACCTCCCCCAATAGCAGGGGACTGTTCTGGGGTCAAGAGATTTGAGTAGCTGTATGCCCCTGCTGGAACCTCCAAACAAGCTCTTGAGGTCTGTTTGGAGGAAAATTTAGGGTAGTCAAGCTTCCAAGACTGCCTGCATGCGTGCTAAGTCCTTTCAGTTGTGTCCGACTCTGCAACCCTATGGACTGTAGCCTGCCAGGCTCCTCCATCCATGGAACTCTCCAGGCAAGAATACTGGAGTGGGTTGCCATGCCCACCTCCAGGGGATCTTCCCAACCCAGAGAACAAACCTGCATCACTTACATCTCCTGTATTGGCAGGCAGGTTCTTTACCACCAGTGCCACCTGGGAAGGCCCTCCAGGATGCCAGACACACACAAATGAGGTGCTGCTTGCAGCAGTCTACCTTTCTTTAAACAAAGAAATGAAAACAAACTCTCCAAAACACCCAAAAGTCCCCAAAGACCACTTCACATCCATTCCCCTTGGGCTTGAAGAGGCCTTACAAGCACTGTCACTCATGGTCTGCAGGAGCAATGCAGCTGATGACTGACCAGGGGAGGGGTGGGAGAGGCGGCTATGAAAATCCTGCCCCCCTCCAGGATGCTGCCAGGTCAGGCATCCTGTTCAAATCCAGAGCAGGAACCTATGACTCTCAGACTCCGTAAGGTACCTGTTGAAAAATACACCCCTTGACCTTAAAGCACAGATCAGCCAGGCCAATAGGCAGTCAGCTATCACTGAACAGGCCTCTTGTTTTGAACGGTTTGGAGTGTCTCAGGCCTACACTCACCCATTGCAGCTCCTTCCTCTAAGGGTGAGCTGATGGAATCTATGCCAATTTTAAGATTAGCCTGAGAAAAACAGCTTTGGAAAAGAAAATATACCTAAAAATACCACTCCAGACCTTTAGCACCACTGTAGGCTCAGTCAGTAAAGAATCCGCCTGTAATGCAGGGGACCTAGGTTCCGATCCCTGGATTGGGAAGATCCCCTGGAGAAGGGAATGGCAACCCACTCCAGTATTCTTGCCTGGAGAATTCCATGGACAGAGGAGCCTGGTGGGCCACAGTCCATGGGGTTGCAGAGTTGGACATGACTGAGCGACTAACTCGTAAGAGTTTCCTCCAGGTGCTGTAGCAAATCATCACTAACTGATGGTTTTGGAACGGCATAAATGGACTCTCTCATGGTTCTAGCAGCCAGAAGTCTATGGTCAAGGTGCGTGCAGCGTGGGTTCTCCTGGAGGTGATACGCAGGACTCCATTTCCTGCATCTTCTAGCTTCGAGGGACTGCCCGCAGCCTCGGCTGGGGGATGTGGGACCCCATCTCTGCCTCCCTCAGCCCATGGCCTTCTCCCCCATGTCTGTCTCTGATCTTCCTCCCTCTCCTAAGGATCCGAGTCATTGAATTGAGGTCTCCCCCTAGATCCAAGATGACCTCGTCCTGAGCTTCTTACTCACATCCATGAAGACTCTAGTTCCAAACAAGGTCTGCGTCACAGGGGCTGGAGATTGGGACGTGGACAGCCTGCCAGCGTCCACCACTCCAGGTGCCCTCTATAGCCCCCAAGACAGGCTGCCCGTTTGGCTTTGTGGATTCACGTACCGTCTCACCCTTGCTGTAGGTATTTTCATGTGGGGCGTGGGGTGGCGAAAAGCATTAAAACCCAGGAGCGACACCACAAGCACACAACCCCGTGCCCTGCCCCCTGCTAGTCGCAGAAGCCTACCCTGGGGCGACTGGACACCTACGTGCCGGTCAGTATGTGACGCCCCGGCCAGGTGAGCTGGGGCAGGGCCCAGGAGTGGAAGGCCTGCTGTGCATCTGGAAGCTTCTGCCCCATGTGACACGCCCTCGCCCTTCTCCCTCTGGACTTTGCTCGTGCCCCCCCCCCCCCCCCGGCGCCAGGGCAGGATGCCTCCACCCACAAGCAGGGGAGGGCTGGGCGGCAGGGAATCTGGGCGTGCGCCCCTCCTCCTGGCCCTCCGGCCTGAGAACCGAATTGAGGCCCAGAAGTGACAGGACGCCATCGGTGATCGTGCTTGTGCCCAGCCCTTGGGGTGACCCCATTAAAACAGGACGAGGCGCGGGAGGCCCCTGGCAGGAACGCCTTACCCTGTGCTGACTCGGCAAGTGAAGGGCGCCTCGGGGCTACTGGCAAAGACAGGCACCCCCCTCGCCCCCTCCCCTGGCCGGCCCAGGGGAGACACGATCCCAGCCCCAGGAGCTCCATGGCCCCCAGGCACCGCTGGCAACCACGTGTGGGTGCTCTCGAGGTATCTACACGCATTGGGTTCCCACAGTAAGTCAGGGATACCCTCAAGGTCACCCTGGAGAGGCCACCTCAGACTCGGGCTCCTCAGCTGGCCGGGTGCCCCCGAGGTGGGGTGCTCTAGCTCTGCAGTGTCCCAGAACATGGGGGGAGGGCCCAGTGGTGGCAGGAGGGCTGGCCTCTGAAGGCCCTCTTGCTCCACCGGGCCTCCATCTGCCCTGGTGTGTCCTCTGCAACAGGCGGGGGGCAAGGTGGGCCAGACCTGGGTTCGTCACTCAGAGCTGGGACCTGACAGGGCAGGCTGCTCCTCAGGCAACGGGGAGAGCGATGGGTGCTGGGGGTGAGAGATTAGGGGCTGAGCAAGAGGGTTATACTCAGACTTATATTAAATTTAAATAATTGGGATTCGATTTATTAATGTTCTAATTTCAAAGCTCCATTTTTTTAACTTGCTAAGTTCAATTTTACAAACCCTGTTATCCCCTTTATAAACCGAACAGATTTTATAGTCATTTTTCAGGGGCCTCTGCCATCTACAAACTCAGTTAATTAAGCATTTTCAACACTTCAAACCTAATTTATCTTTTATTTCCCTTTATGTGCTCCAGTTTGTCTGAATTGACAACAAAATATCAGGTACTTCAAGAACTCATATACTCAATAGGTTAAATATTTAAAATGGTGAACCCCAAATTGTTGCAAATCTTCCAGAAACATGAACGACCCAATGTGTTCAGATTTCACTTAATCTGTAAATCCTAACATTTGGCTGAGATTCTCTTAAACCTGACACTTGACGGTTGGTATGTGACATACCTTAGCACACTCGCCAGCCCCCATCCCCTGGAAAGACTGTGGGGGTCAGCTGGCAGGAATAGGAGGAAGAGAAAGAAGGAAATCTGAGTAGGAAGAAAGAGAACAAAGTTCTGTTCAGGGAGAAGCCTCTTGAACAGCAGAAATGGGGAAACAGCCATGGGGCGGGTGTCAGGACTGGCCCAGCAGGGATGGGCTGTGTGGTTTTCTGCAGGAAACTGTGCTGTGAACAACTCTGGATGGCGGGGGTCCGCCAGCTTGTATCAGGTGTCAAACGCTTCAGCACCAAAACTGCTTGTGACTGTGTGTTCAGTCTGTTTCAGAGGTGCACTGACTCGCCTAGCTGGGAGCTGAGATTAGGGTTGGGGGGGGGGCGGTTACTGTTAGCTTCTGGAGGGTTCCAGCTTTGTAGGAGCCACATGCGAGAAGTGCCGCCCTTCCCAGAGGCAGGGACAGAGAGGGCGCTGACTCTAGGATTCCTGGGATTTACGATGTCCAGGGCCTATCCAGAGGATCTGGGGCATGTGTCCCTACTCCAGAGAGCACTGTGGGCACCACGGGCCCCCGGATAACGACCAAAACCAAAGACTGAGTAAGAAGCGCTCACCCAGGGAGACGTGGGGGCTGAAAGAGGAGGGCCAGGCTGGGGGGGCAGCCACCAGAAAGTGGGAGCAAAGTCTGGAGAGGCGATTCCCGCACCCAGGAGAGAACGCCGGAGGTCGGGCCTGCGCGGTCCTCCCGGCCGCCGGCCTGGCCGGGCAGAGGTCCTGGAGCCCACGGCGCTCACTAGTGGTCACCCACGTGGTCGCCGCGCAGACGGTCCTCCGCCGGACGTGCGCTCGCCGGAGCCCAGACCTCTGAGCCACCTCTCGAGCGCGAGCGTTAGGTTCCCATGAGAACCCGAGGCCCACGGAAGGAGGCGGTCGGCGCGCGCGACAGCCCTCGGGGTCTCCCGGCGCTCGCGTCTCCACCCGGCCGACCCGGCGCGGGCCCTTCCTCCACGCCCTCTTCGCTGTCTCGCCCTGCCGGACCCGCCCCTCGGCCTCCCCTAGCACAAGAGTTAGCCCCACCCAGTCCGCCAGGCTCCGCCCCGCCTCGGTCCCGACCCTCCACCTCGCTCCGCCCATTTATGCCCCTGCCAGCCCAGGCTCCTCCCCTTGGCTCTCCCCACCAACCCCCGCCCCTCCCCGTCCTGCCCTGGCCTGTCACCAGGCCCCCTCTTCGGCCCGGCGCCCCCTCCAGCGTGCCTTGCGCGGCGGCGGCCCGGAAGCTGGCGTGGCGCGCTAGTCGCAGGGCGCTCAGGCGTTCAGAGGCGGGACTTCCGGTGGCGTTCGCGCGGGTCTTCCGGCCGACTCCTGGGGCCGGCGCGTCTCCGGGACATGCAGGTGAGCGGCGCCGTGGCGGCCCGGGGTGGCGTCAGCGCCTCGACCCCGTGGCCTCGGTTCTCCTCCGCCGAGCGAGCCTGCGGGCCGTGCGTGTGAAAGCCGGAGGCGCGGCGCGAGGGAGAATGGGCGTGACGGCGCGTGTGGCTGAGAGGCGGTGCGAGCGGTTGTATGTGAGGGGGTGTGAGTGGGTGTGACGGACGCGGGGCGGCGGCGCGAACCGGGACTCGGCCCGCTGTCTCTCGGCTTCCGCCGCAGCCCTGGGACGCGGCGGCCTTTTCGCGCTGGAGGGCGCCGCCGAGATCCGAGGCCAGAGGCCGGGGCGGCGGGCCCGGGCCCCGGCGAGCTAGTGTCGCCCGCTCCCGCTGCGCCCAGCAGGCTGTTTTGGGCTTCCTCTGTCTTCGCCGAGGGAACACGACGGGATCTGCGACCCGCCGTGTGGCTGGCACCCCAGAGTCGCAAGTGTTCCTCCGCCAGGGCTGGGCTTCTGCTCTTACACTGCATCCATTTCCAAGAGCACCCTCGGCCCTCCCCGCAGGAACACAGTTGGCCCCAAAATTTGTGCCCACCGGCGAGAATCTGATGGACACTACTTGATGTGAGGACGAAACCGTTCTGTTCACGGGACAGTCGGCTCTGGGTCCCGCCGGGTGTGGGTGTTGCTCACTCAGTGCGCAGCGGTCAGCATCTCTCAAAACTGCACATCGCTGAGCAGAGACAAGTTGGTTGGATTAAAACTAGTTTCTTTAGAAGGAAACGGAGAACGTGAGAGTGCATCCCAGAGCAGGGTTAGCACCGATCAGCTGTTTTCTGCCTGTGCACTCAAGACACATGCGCACTTGGGACACTCATGTGTGTGCTAAGCTCTGTGGAGAGTGTGATGGAAGAGTTGGCTCTCAGAGGCACTGACAGAGCCCCCAGGGACACCTCACCTTGCTGGACTCGAACACCCCTCACATCACAGCCAACATGTCCCCACTACCCAGTGAGGCAGTCCATCTGGAAAGTTCCACGCCACTGGAGAGCAGCCCTGCACGTGTGAGCAGCTGGGATCTCAGTGCTTCCCCCAGTGTTGTGGAGCCGCACGCCAGAGCTGGCCCAGCGGGCACAGGGTTGCAAGGGTCTGTGGCCATGCCGGCCCACTTGCGCCTGGCCTGCTTCTGTTGCCCCTGCACCAGCTGCAGAAGCCAGCAGGGCCCATCTTCTTCCTCCAGATCAGCCCCACTTCCATCCTTTCCTCTTTCTTCTTTCCCATGGTGTGAAAGCACAGGTCACAGGGCAGGCAGATGGTGGGGGTCTCAACGCAGGAGGGACAGTAGGCAGACCAGCTGGCCATGGGCAGAAGCTGGGAAGGGCCACAGAATGTGCCTCCAGGCGACGGCTGAGTGGTTCCTAGGGGACCAGGTGCTGCTTGATTTCTCTTCTTGCTCCATTCTTGGGGGCCCTGACCTCCACCCTGGGGCCAGGGAGGAACCCACAGTTGTGAGAGGCCTGAGGGGGCCAGGGCTGAAGATGGGATGCTCTGCAGGCTTGGCCTCTTACAGCTCAGCAGTCACAGGTTCAGCCCCGCCAAGGGAGCACCAGATGGTTCTGGGCTGCATGCCCCCACCACCAGGCTGAGGCCGAGGAGGAGCCCAGGCCCCCCGGCCGTGGTGGCAAGGGGCCAGTGTTGGGCCTGGGTGGCAGAGGCTGCCGTCCTGGATGGATCTTATGGCCAGGAGGGGACAGAGGGTGGCAAATCAGGCCTGAGTCTCCATATCCTTCCCCACCCCCCTCAAGAGCACCTGATCAGCCGGGGGTGCCGCTCTGTCTGGGGGCAGTGGGATGAGGGAGACTCCTGGATTCCCCGACCCAGGCCCTGTCCTGAAGGTCCCAGGCGGTGACAGCCTAGACCAGGTGTGTGCTGTCTGTGCAGGACTGTAGGCTAAGGGGGAGGTTTGCAGGGGTGAAGGGAGTGAGCTCCGGGCCAGGAGGTCTTGGTGGTAGAGGCCCAGAGCGTGCCATGGGCCTGGCTCTGCCGTCTCTCAACAGGGCACACCCTGCCTGGCGAGGGCTCTGGTGTCCCCAGGGGTGTCTGCCCAATGGGCAAGGGCCTGGGTTGCCTGTAGGGTCTCCTCTGGACCAGCTGGACCTTGGTCAGGCTGAGAGGGGACTGAGACACCGTTGACTGACAGGCTCTGACACCGACTGTCTCAAAACCTCAACAAGGAGTGCACGTGGCCCGGCCCTGCGTGTTGCCCAGCTGTCCCCAGAAAGGAGGTGGAGGCGGAGGCGGGGTGGTGGTGCTGGTAGGATGAGAGTCCAGTGGGGAAGTCCAGGGAAAGAGAGCGACTGGACACCAGGCAGTCTGCACATATACTTAGCGTCCTCTTCCCTCCTTGCTGTGGGCGCACTCGTCTGAGAGATTCAATAAAGACACGATCATGCTTTGCGTGTGCACGTTGTGACATTTGTACTGGGGGGTTGTGAGCACTGCGGTGCCCTCAGGATGCCAGCATCTGGGAGTGTGGGGTTTGAACAGCTGCAGTGAGTGTCTTCGAGCATTTCCCATGTAGACAATAAGTCCCCCAAAGTAGAATTTTATAAAAGAAAAAAAGGAAACACCGATTGGAAAGCACAGTATTTGTGACCAGGTTGTCACCTGAACTTGGATTCCCAGGAACAGCCCGGAGGGTGAAGCTGCCCCGGTCCTTGCGGTTGTGTCATCCTGATAATCCTTGCAGTGGGGAGGCGGGGAGGTAGTGGGGGTGTTGATGCTGTCTCATCTCAGCGTCCGTTCCTTTGGTTGCTGGTGAAGCCGAGAGCCGAGATGCTCTTTTTGGGGCTTGAGGGGGTCTGTGTGTTGTGAGGGGTTTGTGTTATGGGGTGTTTCTGTGTGTTACACTTCTTCATGTCTTTTCTGCACTTTACAGTGATTTTTTTTTCCTATTGGGAGTGTGTTTTTTCTTAACTTGTGTGAGATATTTGTATGTCATCTATAGAAACAGAGTAGAAGTTCATTGTCAAGTATTTTACTGTTTTGTGTTTTATTTCTTTAAACCGGTTTTTTATCTGCTAAATGAAAGGGTCACGTTTTTATGTAGCATAATGTAGACATTTTGCTAGTAGCTTTTACTGATGCTGATTTAGGTGGAAAAGCATCCCTCTGTTCAGCTTCCGCCCCAAGTTTACCTACACAGGCATGTTTTCTTCTAGTCCTCTGCACGGCTCTGTGGTTTTACACTCAAGCCAGTAGCTGGTAGCCAGAATGTCTCTGTGCTTGTGGAGGGTGGAGGCCAAGCTTTGCTCAGTCGGCCGGCTGTGGTTAGGGCAGCCCTGAGGCAGTGGGACGGCTCCTGGCCTGCACCAGGGAAGGCCCTTTCAGGCGTCTGGGGGAGCCGGGGCCCAGCGATGCTGGCTGCTGGACTCCGGCTGTCGGGGCTGGCTCGGTGCCCAGCTTAGTGCTGGGAGGCCCCTGGCTCCATCAGGACCAGAGCTCCAGGAGGCAGGTGGAACATCCACCTGTCAGGGTCTCCACGGGCTCTGTCTCTCTGCAGCCCCCTGGACCCCGAGGTTAGACCCTGCTGCGACCCACTCAGCATGCGGGCACTCCTCGGCACGCTCTGGCTTGCCCTGGCCTGCAGCTCTGTGCACGCCACCCTTTCGAAGTCAGATGCCAAAAAGGCTGCCTCGAAGACGCTGCAGGAGAAGGTTGGTGGTCTGGGGACTTGCAGAGGGCTGACCATCATACCTCCTTGCCCACTGGGGGCTGTGCGCTGGGGCCTGGGAGCCAGCTGCGAGCCGGGAGCTTCACCTCTGGGAGGCCAGCACCGTCCCTCTCGGGGCTCCAGCTGGCCGGCCTCAGGGGGAGCAGCTTCTGGTGCTGGGGCCCGAGGGCAGGCCTGCCCCACTGGGCTCGTGGCTCTGCCTGTGGCCCCGGTTCCCTCCCTCGACCCCTGCGCTCCTCCCTGCTTCACGGGGCGAGTCAGTCAAGCTCTGCCGAGTGTGGCTGTGTCTTTGTGCGGGTTTCCGGGAGGGCCCAGGGAGGCAGGGTGAGTCTTCAGGGACTGTCCACCCCACCTGATGGCCTTGCCCTGAGGGCTTCGGTCAGCACCGCTGGTCCTGGGACAGGGTCCCTGCTGACTGAGAGGACGCTGCTGCCCTGGGGCTCAGCCTGGGGACACACCCTGACCGCGTCCTCCCTGCCTTCCCATCTCAGACTCAGGTTTCGGGCAAGCCCGCCCAGGAGCGGGGTCTGGTGGTGACCGACCTCAGGGCTGAGGACATCGTCCTTGAACACCGCAGCTACTGCTCGGCCAAGGCCCACAAGAAGCACTTCGCCGGGGACGTCTTGGGCTACGTCACGCCGGTAGGCCGGGCCGGGGGTGGATGGCGGACCCTGAGGGCAGGGTGGCTGCTCGGGTCTGCATCCTCACCTCCCCTGGCACTCTCACTGAGGGAGCGGTGGAAGTGATGCCTCCCAGCAGAGGGCCCAGGGTCATGGCAGAGTCCTGCTGCGCACGAGGCGGGCGGCCCTGCAGAGCCCCCTCTGGAGGTGGTCGTGCCCTCTGGCCCCCGCTGCCAGCAGGCTCACTCGTTCTCTCCTCTGCCAGTGGAACCGACACGGCTACGATGTCGCCAAGATCTTCGGGGGCAAGTTCACCCATGTCGCCCCCGTGTGGCTGCAGCTGAGGAGGCATGGCCGCGAAATGTTCGAGGTCACGGGCCTGGATGACGTAGACCAAGGTTCTGACACCATCGCTTGTCTGTGCCCGTCCTGGGGGCCTGGGAGAGTGAATGTGAGTGTGTGTGTGTGTGTGTGTAAAGACAAGCGAGTCTGCATGTGAGTGTACTTGAGTGTCATGCCTGCCTGGCATTCAGCTGCATCCCTGTTTTCCCTCAGCAGTTTGTACATGGTGTCCCGGGGAGGATCTATGGAGGAGGCATCCAGGACAGTGCCTGGGAGGAGGCGAGGGTCTGGCTGTCCTGACAGCCATGTTTGTACCTGAGTTTACTCGGGTGTTTCCCCCTTTGTTTTCAGAGAGAGGACGTGTTGGCCAGAGGCGGGGTTCCCTGACTCTGGGGGGCCCGCGGGTCAGAGGACAGCTGGGCAGCATCAGCTCTTGCTCTCTGGTGCCCTCAACTCTGAGAGAAGGGCCAGGCCCCTCGGGGTGGTGGCCCTGGTGCGGCCACTTGCCCCCAGCCCTGGCTGCTCTGTGGGGGGAGGGGGGGGGCGCAGGACCCCAGACTCTCCAGCTGCCTCCCTTCTGTGCTCCTGCGCTGGGCCCACAGGCCCTCCTCCTGGGGGAGGTCAGGTCGGGGGGCAGGAGAAGGGGCTGTACCCCCACGCTGACCGTCCTCTCCATGTCCCACAGGGTGGGTGCGGGCAGTCAGGAAACAAGCCAAGGGCCTGCGCATAGGTGAGTCCAGTGGGCCCGGGGGGTCAGGGCTGTGGGCCCTTAGGCCCCACCCCAGCAGGTGGAGGTCCTGGAGCGCGCTGGGTAGGGGAGGGACCCAGGGTCTTCACACCTGCCTGCTCACGCTGCCTAGCGTGTTGGTTCCTCTTCTGACGGATCAGAAATGAGGCCGCCCCAGCCCAGCATTCATGGCCTCGGTCCAGCCGGACCCCAGTGGCCCTGCTGCCCACCTTGCTCAGTCCAGCAAGGCCAGCCCCTTCCCCTGTGGCCTTGCCCTCCCATCTCTCCATTCACCCTTGAGGGTTCATGGAGCTCTCCTGGGGGCCGTGCCCAGGGGTGACGCTCACCCTGCCGTGCCCATTCTAGAGCTCACGGCCGGTGAGGGAGGGACACGTTGCCAAGTACACTGGGGCCTGGGGGGGGGCGGGGCTGGGAGAGGACCTGCAGTTCGTTTCACGGGGAGCTGGTGGAGGATGGTCCAGTGAGAGCCGGGCAACAAGGAGCCGGACGAGCTGGGGTCTGGGCATTCAGGGACTTGGTGGGTAAAGGGAGGAAAGGGTCAACATCTGCTTCTGCTTCCCCCGCACCGCCCGTGACCCTCCCTCCCCAGGCCATGTGGCAGCAGGGGGCCCACCCGGCTACTGGTGGTGGTCATTCTGCTCTGGAGGCCACAGGCCGGCAAGGAGGGTCACAGTCTGCGCATCTGCCCCCAGTGCCCCGTCTCCGGTTCGAGGACTGGACGTACGAGGACTTTCAGAGCGTCCTGGACAGCGAGGATGAGATTGAGGAGCTCAGCAGGACTGTCGTCCAGGTGGCCAAGGTGATGCCCGGGCCTCCCTCCTGACCACATGCGTCTCGGGTGCAGGGGCTGCCCTCCCGGGGGACGCATCACCCAGGCTGGTGCCAGGCTACAGGGCAGGGAGAGCCCTTCAGGGCCCCAGGGGGTATTTGGGGAGGCACGCGAGTAGCCGGGACCAAGAGCTGCAGCTTCTCTGCCTGGGCCCGCAGTCGGGAGGGGGAAGCCAGGGCTGGCTCTGCCTGCCACAGGCAGGAGCTCCTCTTCCTGGAGCCCTGCCCGCCTGCCCCTGTCCTTCCAGGGCCAGCACTTTGACGGCCTGGTGGTGGAGGTCTGGAACCAGCTGCTGGTCCAAAAGCACGTGTGAGTGGGCCTCGGTGGCGTGCGGGGCGCGGGGCGTGCACCAGGTCCTTCCCGGCCGGGGGGGTCGGGAAGAGTCTGAGGCCGGACATGGAGGGACCTTGTTTTGGGGGAGGGCCGTCTTTCCACAGCCTGTGCCGGGGCAGCACCCCGAGAAGGTCAGAGAGCAGCTCCAGGAAGCCTGGAAGTGGCTGCGGGCAGGTGGCCAGCTGAGCACTGATGGGGCTGGCCCGATAGGGCCTTCAGGGGACTTGGCGAGGAGGCGGCCCAGCAGGACCGGGGCGCCTGCGGCAGACGGCCATGGGCTTCTCTGGGAGAAGGGCCTGCCATCCATCCTCAGCCCTGCCTCAGCTGGCTTGGGGGCCATGGGCAGGGCTCCCCCTATCCCTCCCGCAGCTGCGGGCTGCTCTCCGCCTGCCCGGAGGCAGCATCCTCAGGCCTCTTAGTGCAGCAGGAGGGTTTTCTCGAGGGGCCGTGCGGGGGTCCAGGACTCCCACCCAAGGCCCAGGATGCCATGCCTGGAGCCTGGCCTGCCGGGCTCTGCCTGGGGGTGGGGGCAGCCCAGATGCCAGCCAGCTGTGGTTCTTGCTTCTCTGTGCTCAGACCACACTCCCTCACTGTGGGTGCTTCTGGAAGGCTCCCCCGTGTACACTTGCACCCTGGGGGGCGCCCGAGGCCGGAGTTGAGGAGGAGGACGGGTGGAGGACAGGGGCCCCGTGTCGGGAGCGACACCCCCTGCACTCTGGCGGCCCCTCTGGTGGCTTTTGGCTGAGAGCTGACCCCTGCGTCCCCGGGCTCTGCCTCGGTCCCTGCTGCATGGCGGTCCTGCTGAGGACGCCTGAGGGGGGCAGGGGGAGGTGGCCTCTTCCAGGTGGCTCAGGAGGGTGTGCACAGCAGGCCCGCGGCGGGACGAGCCGGGGCTCCCGGCGGGGCAGGGGCAGGGTGTGGGCCAGCCAGCCCAGCAGATGGCTTTGGACCCGGCTCCCTGGGTGTGTGATGAAGGCGATGCACCTTGTCCCAGCCCTGGGCAGCAGGTCCCCAGGCCCCTCCCAGGACAGCCTCCTGTGGAGGAGCGAGTGGGGGCTGCCTGGCTGTGGCAAGAAGCCTGTTTCCTGCGTTCATGCCGGCAGGCCAGTGGGCGGGCGGCCCCGGGAAGCCCTGGGGACTTCGTTCCAGCAGAGCCCGCCAGGCAGGCACTGCCCCGGGCCACAAGAGCACCTCCTCTTCTCGGAGACTCAGCCCCCTGGGTGCTCCCCAAAGCCGAGCAGGCACTGATGGTGATGGGTGCCAAGGGCACAGGCGGTGTGCCAGCTCCCGGCCTCAGGGAGGGGCCGACCTGGGTTCTGCAGCCTGTGTGTTCCCGGGGGCATCCTGAGCCCACAGCCACAGCCAAGAGTGGTGTCTCCTTGGCCCTGGGGTCCCCCTCGCTGAGGGTGGGCCCCGCGAGACGGAGAGGCCACCCCGTGCCCACCTCCGCAGGGTGGGCCGCAGCTGTACCCCGCGCCTCCGTGCGTTGTGCAGACTGGCTCGAGCTGAGAGGGGCTGAGGGCGATGGCCCCCTCACTTGCCCGCGCTGTGCGGGGCACTCACCGCCTTGCTGCAGACCAAGGTGGCTCCTGAGGGCTCTGGGGGAGGACCTGGGCCGGTCACTGGGCCCACAGCCTCTCAGGCAGTGTGGGGCCAGGCCAGAGTGGACCCAGCACGGAGTTGGCCCAAGACCTGCCCTCCCGGCAAGGCGGCCCTTGGGGGGCTGAACCAGGCGCTCTGCAGTCCATGCACGGCCAGCTGCCCCGGGGCTGGCGCCTGCAGACAGCCGTTCCCCGGGGACGCTGCCCACCAGACCTGAGATGCCGCCACGTCCCGCACCCTTCGTGACCAGAGGAGCCGTGGGCTGTCTGCCTTTCTGCCCCTCACCTGGCAGCCTGCTGCCCATGGAGATGCTTCTCCTTGGGTTCAGGCACGCCTGGTGGAGCAGTCACCGCTGACTGTCCTTACCGCCCTCCTGGGATTGAGGAAGGCGGAGCTGTGTGTCGGTGACTGCTTGGGGTGGGGGTGACTGCATGAGGGGGCAGGCAGTCGAGGCTACCTCCCTGGGCGGGAGGTCAGGGCCCCAGCACAAGGCCCCATCAGTGGAGCTGCCCCCACGCCCTGGGTGTGGGGCACCCCTGCCCGCAGCACCCCAGGGTCACGGGCTCCTTCCTCATCTCAGCCTGGCTGCTATCTAGGAGGGTCCAGAGGTGACGGGCGCTGCACGGCCCCTCTCTGCTCCTCCCCCTGTGGTTCGGGGGTCAGGAGCCGTGCAGGCCAGGTTGGGTGGAGGGTGACCCGTCCTCCGCTCCTCTGCAGGGGCCTCGTTCACCTGCTCACCCACATGGCTGAGGCGCTGCACCAGGCCCGGCTGCTGGCTTTCCTGGTGATCCCGCCCGCCGTCGCCCCGGGGTAAGTGCTGTGCCTGCTCGCCCGGGAGGCCCTTTCTGGCCCCCACCCGGCCCAGCCACGCTGGCCACTGCCCGTGTAGGGGGGACCCCATCAGCACGTGGGATGCCTCAGTGGTCTTGGCACATCCTCGCAGGTCCGCACCTCAGGGCCCGGACTGCCTCAGGCCAGGCCTCCTGCTGCTCAGCCTGGTCACTTCCTGCCACCCCAGCCCCGTGGCAGGGAGCTGGACCCGGTGCCGGCTGTCAGCATTGTGGCCTGACCACCATCCAGCCCACGCCCGGCACGGAGGAGGCCTGGGTGGGGACCTGAGGGGCTGAGCCAAGGGGTGGCGGGGGCCCAGAGGGGCCAGTCATTGGCTCACTGCAGAGCTCGGGCCAGTGAGCAGGATGGGGTGGGTGGCGTTTGGACCCTACTGTCAGGCCTCACACAGAAGAGACCACCCCAACAGTCCCAGGCGGCTGCCCTCCTGTGCCTGACGCCCCCGGCCCACGGGAGGGCCTCGGCCCCGGGTGTCACCTCCCGTGCTTCTGAGTGTATGCTTGTGCGTAGAACACACGTGTGTGAGGGGCCTTGGTCCTCCTGGGGTGGGGGCCCTGGTCTGGAGGGCCAGGGCAGTGGACACATGCGTGGTCCGTGGGCTCAGCTGCAGGTGCAGCATCTGTTTCCAGAATCTCTGGTGTCTGTCGGTTGGGGTGGGTCGGGACAGGCAGAGCCCCAGTTGACGTTTGTGATTGGCCGTCGGGGCCATCAGTGGAGCTCCTCCAGCCCAGGGAGGGCCCGGGTTGTGGGCGGGACTGGCCCCCTTGCAGGCCCCTCATGCTGACAGGTGTGCAGGGCAGACCCCCGTGTGCTGGAGGGTGTGAGGGAGGGTGAGTGGGCCTGACACCCCTGGGCGGGCCGACCCCTAGGCCTGGCCTCCGAGGGCACTGGGCTCAGGACGGGGTGGAGAGCAGCTTTCCAGCCAGCACCCTCTCTGCCCAGGCCTCTGACCTGAGCTCCTGGCCCCCAGGCGGGGAGTGGATGGAGTGAGCCCGGGCCCCTCCCCCGGCAGTGACCGGGGAGGACGTGCCCTTGGGGGGCAGTGAGAGGGAGGCCGGGGGCAGGGGCCGCGGCCCATGCAGCCCAGGCTGACGGCGGGGTCCTGGCACGGCTGCCTCTGCTGACCCTGGCTGCATCTTGGGGGCACAGTCCAGCTGCACCCTCGTGCTGGTGAGCAAGCATCCCTTCCTCCAGAGGCCCCGGTGGCCAGGGTTTGTCTCATTGGCTTTGTCCTTCTGCACCCACACTTCTGGACAGCAGCCCAGCAGAGGAACTAGTGAGCTGTAAACAAACTTCCTGGCCTTTCTGCCGCGTCAGTCTCTTCACAGAGGCGGCACTGCTGCCTGTGGGAACAGCCGCCCAGGAGGGTGTCTGCGTGGCAGGCAGCCTTTTGCTGCCATGGCCTGTGCCCCCCCACCCATTTGGGGTCTGTTGGCACGGGTGGCCATCCTGACCTTGAGCCCTGCTCTTGATGTCACAGCGTGGCCCCGACTGATGGTCCGGCGCCAGTCAATAGGTTTAATTAGAGCTTTGCGTCATCCTTGCTCTAGAAGTGCCCTGAGTTAGTTTTCGCCTCAGCCTCTCAGGACGTTTCTTCTGAGAATCGAGCTCCCGGACCCCGAGAAGGAGCTGACCTCAGGCACGGTGGACCGACTTCCCTCCTAGGACCTTCCCCGCAGCGAGCTCGCGCCCTCATGGGCAGGTGTCCCCGTGACGGGTGCTGCACCCAGCCGTCCTCCAGCTGCCCCCGGGGTTCAGGGTCACCACAGGAAGGGGGTGGGTGGGGGTCCTTCCCCGGGAGGGACACCCTGCCCAGGCTGAGCCCTGTTCACGTCTCCTGAGCTCCAGGGGTGGCCTGGGGCCAGACTGTGGCGGCTCAGCGGGGCCGTGGGCCGGGGTCACCCCTGGACACCACGTGGGTGCAGGCGGCAGAGGTCCAGCTGGAGGGCGGGGCCCTTGCTGACGGGTGCGGATGGCCAGGCCTGCAGGCGTGGCTCTGCTCTGACCACGTAGGGCGGCTGCAGCCTGAGGCCCTGGGGCGGGCCCGCGGCAGGCAGTGGTGGGAGCAGGCAGCAGGCCCACCCTCTTCCTGCTGGGCCACCATGGAGACAGCTCTGTGGGCAGTGTCCGTGGGCCGGGTGACGCCCCGCCTGCGCTCAGTGGCAAGGCCAGGGAGGTGCGTGGTCTGCGCTGGTCCTGGGGGTGCTCGACCTGGAGAGGACTGGTCCGGGATGGGGCTGGGGTGTCCAGCCCAGTAGGCTGCGTTTTGCCCTGGGGGTTGTGGCTTCACGGTGTTGGCTGGTTGTCAGGGCCGGGATGGAGCGGGGAGTGTGGCCTGAAAATGCTGGGGGCCGGTGTGGGGTCCACGCTGCCTGGCGTCTCCCGGCTGAGCGGGGTGGTCTGGAGCATGGCCCCAGCCTGTGGCCATCACTGCCCAGTGGACGCGTCTGGTTCACAGCTGCGTCCCATGCTCCTGGCTACAGCCAGTGCCTGTCAGGGGTTCTCGCCTGTGCCCCCCGGGGCTCTGGGGCTGCTGGCCACAGTCCCCAGGAGCCTGATGTCTCTGGGAGGCCTGGGCCAGGCCTCCAGGCCCCTCCCTCTGAAGCCAGAGGCTGGGGGTAGGGGCCTTTGCTCATCGGGCTTGGGGGAGCCTGGTGATGGGATGTCTTAGGGTCGCCTGGATTCTGTGGAACTAGTGACTGAGGCTGGGGTCCACATGGTGGGCTGCCCCTGCCCAGGGATTGAAGGCACTGGCTGAGAAGATGGATTGTCTTCTCTGCCCACACAGTGGGGGACACAGAGTCCCCTGTGCCCCACCCAGGGACAGGGGGCAGGCGGGCTGGCCATCAGCTGTGTCCCACCCGCCCAGACCTGAGGCCCCCAGAGGCAGGGCGCCGTGCCTGAGGCTGAGCAGAAGCGGGCGGGCCTGGGCTGCCCCTGCCCACGTGAGAGAGGCTTCTGGGGCCTGGGCAGGAAGTGGGGGTCTCCGCTGGAGCCCTGACCCAGCTGCGGGCCACCTCATGCACCCGAGCACTGCCCCCCTCTGGGAAAGGGACCAAGGTGTCTTCCTGGAGCAGGGGCGGAAGGGGCCTGAGCTGGGAGCCCCGTGCCAGCATGCCCCGTCCTCCGCTGAGCACAGGTCAGCTGGGGAGAGGCTGTGACCACGAGGTGGGCATGGTAACCACACCATCTCTTTGCAGGACCAACAAGCTAGGCATGTTCACGAACGCAGAGTTTGAGCAGCTGGCGCCCGTGCTGGACGGCTTCAGCCTCATGACCTACGACTATTCCACAGCACAGCCGTGAGTGGGGCGCCTGGGGCCCCGTGCTCTGGCTCGGCACACAGGTGCCCAGCCCCCGGCGGGCCTGTACACCGGATGCCTGGGCGAGGTCCCACGTCCCACCAGCCTGCTCAGTCTGTGACCCTTGGTCAGCTCTCAGCTCCGGAATCACGAAGGGCCCAGTCTCTTCTCCCAAAGCCCACAGTTGGCTTTGTGTCGGGAAACCTTCTTGTTTTGGGGTGACTTAGGGCAGCTGGTCACCCCATGGGAATGCCATCCCAGGGTGTCCATCCATGCCTCCCAGCCCTGGCTGCCCTATGCCGGGTGCTGGGCCCACCTCCACGCCCAGGAGACGGTGCTCCTGTGTCGGGGGTCATGCTGCTGCCCCGGGCCTCCACTGAGCGCTCTGCCACCTGAGGGTCCCAGACGAAGCAGACACCCGGCCCGGGTCCGCGTGGCCGTCTGTCTGCTGCTGTCCTTGCCACGGTGTGCGTGGACTCCTGCTGCGACCCGGGCGCCCAAGGCCTCGGCTCGGTGCTGAAGCCCGCTCCTGCCCGACCCTGCAGGGCCGGCCCCAATGCACCGCTGCCCTGGGTGCGAGCCTGCGTGCAGGTCCTGGACCCCAAGTCCAAGTGGCGGAGCAAGATCCTGCTGGGGCTCAATTTCTACGGCATGGACTACTCGGCTTCCAAGGACGCCCGTGAGCCCATCATCGGGGCCAGGTGAGCCGGCGGCCGTCTCCCACGTCACCCTCGTTCCGGGAGGTGAGGTGCTGTGGTGGGGAGGCCGGGCAGGGTCTGATCTCAGGCCGGCTGTCCGCGGGGCGCCATCCCGGCACCCCCTCTGGCCCTGTGTCAGCGGGAGTGTCCCTGACATGGCACAGGTGGCCTGCCACCCCTGCATTCTCTGCTGTGGCCTGGAGGAGCCCTTGGTGTTCCCGGCCGCGCGGTCGCGCTCCTGCTCGGTGTCAGCTGTCTGTGCTGGGCTCTGAAGCTGCTGCTGCGTGGACAGCCTGGGCGCTTCATCCCACGACCTTCTCACCCCCACGTGGTCTCCACACTGGTCCCCACCCAGCCCCACTGCACTGTGACAACCACACGCCTTCACGGAGATTTGTTCACGTTCTTTGCACCTGGTTTTCATTGCGCTTTTTAAACCTTGGGGCTTATCCTTTTTATCGTGTTTGGGAAGATGGTAGCCAGCTTCTCAGCTCTCCCTTTCTCTCCTCCCTTTCCAGGCCCACGACACTCGTGTGTCAGGCGGTCTTTTCGCCCCTGCCCGGTGACCCTCACTTTGTCTTGGGGGGCTCTGTCTCTGTTTTCTCTGGCTCAGTATTCCTTGCTGTCTCCAAGCCCGCACACCGTTTCCTGGTTGTGTCCTACTCGGGGTCTCACCCTCCCGTGTATCTCGGTAGCTCTCGTCTGGGCTTTTGTCTGGGACGCCAAGTGTGTGTGTGGAGGCTGCCGGGCAGGCCAGCCCCGTCCCCTCCGTGTCGCCGAGAGGCTCTCTGGGGGCCTCTGCTCGGGCCACTCACGCATTTCACCCAGCTGCGTGCTCTCAGCCCCCTTCCTCACGCTGTGAGCTGCTGTGACCCCTGAACGCTGTGAGCTGTCCCGTGAGCAGGGATGGTCCTGAGGCCAGTGATCCGAGTGTGTGTGCCCACTGCTGCCCCCCGTGGGCAGGGTCACCTGCAGGCCCGCTGGCTGTGGGGACACAGCACGCGGCCCAGTGCCTGAGCACCGGCCGCTCGCCCGCTGGCCTCGTCCCGCCTGTGCTGTGCTCCCTCGGGGCTGCGCTGCGGAGGGACAGGCCGCTGGGTTGGCCCTTGGCTGGCCTTGGGAGTTCCAGGAGGCTGTCCGGCAGTCATCCACCCGGTGGGGTGCCACACCTGTTTCCTCGGCGAGTCCCCGGGGTCATCTGGGCTGAGGCCCGGGAGGGCCTCCACCTGCTTGGGGAGCGCCGTGGGGGGAAGCTGGACAGGAAGGCTCTGCCCTGGGCTTGCTGAGGTCACCCAGCTGAGGGGTCCCCCACCGTGCCTGGAGGCAGAACAGGGAGGGCGGCCTATGGGGGCGGGGCAGAGGGTTCCTGGGCCCAGGGGCGTGCCAGGGACCACCCCAGAGGGCGCGGACCCCAGAGGGCGCTGCCCTCTTCCCTTGACTTCCGGGGGCCCACTCTGGTCCTGCCCAGGGCGCTTACACTGGGGAGAGGCTGAAGGAGGCTGAGGTGGGGTGACCGCTGTTCTGAGGGGTTATGTGGGTCTCTGAGGGGCCATGGGCAGGGGGGCTGCTGGGAAATCTCGCCAAGGCCCCTCCTCCCAAGCTCAGCCATCCCGTGGCTTAGCAGGGCGGACGGTCAGGGAGACCAGGCCCGGGGCTCAGCTCCTCCCCCCTCAGCCGCTGGAGGCCCAGCAGAGCCCATCCTAGAGCCCCTCCCTCGGCCTGGTGACCGCGCCCGCTGGCACCTCCTCCGCAGGGCCCTGGGGCGTCTGCTGCCTCTGCCCTGGGGGAACCTTGGGCAGGGGCTGGCCCAGGTTGCCCTGACCCCCTCTGCCCACAGCCGATTGCTTCCAGACCATCCCCCGCATCCTCGGGCCTGGGGGCTCTGGGAACAGGGGCAGAGCCTCTGCAGGGCAGGGAGTAGGCCCCCTCAGGCGCGTCTGGGGTGCCAGATGGGAGAGTTCAGCGAGGCCCCAGATGGAGGCCTGTCTGTGGGGGGGGTGGGGGGGCAGGCTGCCTCCGCAGGGAGTGGGTGTATTCACAGGCCCAGGGCCCCGGAGTCACAGCCCACCAGGACGCGCCCCTCACTGGACACCCCCAGTGGGTGACCAGCAGGTGTGGGGGCAGTGAGCCTGGGGCCATGGCGCCCTGCTGCCCTCCTGACAGCAGCCCAGGCCGGCCTGTCCCGAGCCACCCACCCTCCCGGCTCAGCCTACCCGGCGCTGACCTGGCCGTGTGTGGCAGGCGTCCCCGGCTCCTCCAGGGACAGCGGGGGATCAGCGCCTTCCCATCTGCTCCTCACACAGCCAGGGCCTCCAGCAGGGGCGGGAGGCCGGCTCTGCCCACCGGGGAGTGGGAGGGGTCTCGTGGCCCCCGCCTGCCTCAGCGGGGAGGCGGTCTGCACTCTCTGGATGTGCTGGCCACTGCCTCTGCTCTCCAGCCCTGTGACTAGCAGGCCCCATCGCCCCACGGCCTCACCGCTCCCTGACCTTGAAAGTCGCAGTGGCCGTGAAACAGCCTTGGGAGGCCAGGCGCCCCACCTGCAGACTCACAACCCCCACAGACCTGAGTGCTGATCCAGGGGTCGCCGTGGTTGTTGACCCCTGTTCTGGGAGGCTGCCGCGCTGCCCTGCTGCTCAGGGTGCCCGGCCAGCCCCCTGAAGGCCCCCAGGCCAGGTGGGCCCACACTCCCCTGCAGCATCCAGACTGGGCTTGCTGCCCCTGCTTAGGGGCCGCTGGGACCTCTGTGAGAGTCAGCCCCGGCAGAACTCAGCCAGGCGGGCCCAGGGCTGGGCTATGCCTGGCAACACTCCCTCACCACTCACGGGCCAGGGGGTGCAGGGTCGAGGCCACAGGGCTTGAAGAGGCTGCCCGTGCGGCCCTCCTGCCTGGGTCTCGCGCCGCCTTGGACAGGGCTGGCGGCTCCCACGGCTCTGGGTCTGGCCCGTCCCTGCGCCGTGCGCTCCGCTGAGACCTTCGCCTCCACTGGCCCCTGGGCCTCACGGTCCCCCCTGGGCTCCCGGCTCTGGCCCGTCCCTGCGCCATGCGCTCCACTGAGACCCTCGCCTCCACTGGCCCCTGGGCCTCGCGGTCCCCCCTGGGCTCCAGGCTCTGGGTCTGGCCCGTCCCTGCGCCGTGCGCTCCACTGAGACCCTCGCCTCCACTGGCCCCTGGACCTTGTGGTCCCCCCCTGGGCCTCGCGGTCCCCCCCGGGCCTCGCGGTCCCCCCCCGGCCTCGCGGTCCCTCCCCCCCGGGCCTCGCGGTCCCCCCGCTCCGGGCCTCGCAGTCCCCCACCCGGGCCTCGTGGTCCCCCCTGGGCTCCCGAGCCTCCTGCCCTCACTCTGTGCCCGGGGCCTCCCTGTGCACCTTGACCGCTCGTCGCCATCCCTGCTGGCTCTCCCCTGGGGGACGCTCCAGGGGTCCCGCGGGGGTCCTGCTGCCTGTGGGTGACGTGAGGTCTTCCGTGTAAACTGCCTGTAGGTCCTGGGAGCTGAGATGGGGGAAGGGGTGCCTCCTCGCGTCACCTGTGGCGGTGCCCACCGGACTCCCCATGGCCTGCAGCAGAGGACCCTGCACCTTCCACGCGCCCAGCCAGGTCCTCAGCAGCTCGGAGTCGGCGCCCTCCGGGGCGGGCCCTGTGCGGGTTGCAGCGCCAGCCGTGTCTCCCCCAGAGGCCCTCTCAGTCCTGCAGGGGCCACGGCAGAGAGCGCAGGGTGCCCAGGCCCCAGTGGGAGGCGGGAAGCCCACCCCGGGCTGGTTTCCCTGTCGCCCTGACGGCCCCCTTCCGCCTGCTCTCTGCTCACCCGCCCAGAGCGGGGGGGCCGTGCAGCTCGTCTCTGGGCCCTGAATCCTCTGCCGACCTGTCTGCTGTGTCTTCGTCTATGATTCTCTTTGCTGTTCCCTGAAGCCTTCATCCCGAAGGCTGACAACTTTTTTGAGTGGGGAGGTGTCATTCACACGCTGTAAGGTCCGCTGTGGCAAAGCGCCTGACTCAGCAACACTCAGAACCTCGTCAGGCTGTGCGGCCGCCTCCTCTGTTTCCACAACGTCTCGGCGGTCCCCGAGGCCACTGACCTTGGATGGGGTCCATCTGTGACTTGCCTTGGCGGGACGTTTCTCAGGCGGCCAATGGCCGAGGCCTTCCATTTTAGCTCAGGGACCGCGCGGCCCCGTTCACCCCTGCCGCCCACCGCAGCCCCTCCGCCTGGGCCGCCCCTGCGGTCCTGCTCTCACTCTGCAGCGGTCTGCTCAGCTGTCCCCACCCAGGGCGCTCACTCCCTGCCCCCCCCCCACCTCCCACCCCAGTGAGCGTGGGGTCCTGAGTGGCCCCAGCCCTGGCACTGCCCGGCCTTAGCCTCTGGGATGAGGAACTGACCCCAACAGAGAGCAGCCTTAGCTGCCCCCACGGCCCACCTGCTCCAGCAGGCAGCCCCCTGTGGAGTGCGTGGCCGGGGCTCCCCACACCCCAGGGCCTGGAGCCAGCTGCTGAGCAGCATCTGCCCGACCCAGGACAGGACTCGGGGGCTCGAAACGTCCACCCCACCCCACGTCCCAGGTCACCTTAGCCTCAGGGCAGACGGCTCCAAAGCAGCAAGTGATCCTTAAGATTCCAGGAGCGTGGCTGTGGTTAAGGATGATGCCATTATTTTGGACAACTGGAGCTGGTGTGGGGGGATCGTGGGTCCTGGCCCAGACCCTGTGGGGAGCCCCACGTCCTCCACTGTGGAGTCCCCACTGCTCTGTCCAGCCCTGCCCCGCAGCACCCCACTGGCATCAGTGGTCCAGCCCAAAGCACACAACGCCCCCCTGGGCTCGGAGGCGGGCCGGCCGCACCTCCCCCCTCAGCCTGTCTGGGCGCCGGCTGCTGGCCCCACTGTCCCAGCCACGCGGCACCCTGGAAACCAGCTCATCTTCCCTGTGTGTTGGGGGCGGGTCTGAAACCAGTGCCTTTTGGCAGTGAGGCGGGCCCACCGCAGGCCTGGGGCAGGTGCGTCCACAGCGGGGAGGCAGGGAGGACAGCCTGGGTCCCCAGAGGGCCCGGACATCGGTGTTCCCTGGGAAGGGGGTGAGGGCATGCAGAGCCGAGGCTGCCCCCAGGGCTTGCTCGTATGTCCCCAGCGGGCAGGGCCCAGGAGCACTGTCTGCCTCCCAGCCGGTGCTGCGCCCACATTGAGGAGCCTCGTTCTGCCCGTGGTGCTGTCAGGTCAGGGCGGGGTCCTGGCCCCCACATCTCAGCATCCTGTCGGGACCCTTGTTCCCCCCCACCACAGCCCCAGCCCGGGCATTTGAGAACCTGCCCTGTGGTCCTGCTTCCTGGCATTCATCATGCCCAGGCCGCCCCACGTGGCCCTCCCACCCCACCTGGTGTCGCTGGCATTCCATGGACCACTGGGGGTCAACACGCTGGCCCAGTTAGCCTTGACCCGCTGTGATGGCGAAGGCCGCCCCCACCCATCCAGGGGGGCGGGGCGGGGTGGGGCCGCCCTCCCACAGCCCGTCTCCCCCAGGTACGTCCAGACACTGAAGGACCACCGGCCTCATGTGGTGTGGGACAGCCAGGCCGCGGAGCACTTCTTCGAGTACAAGAAGTGAGTGTCGGAGAGGGCCTGGGCGGGGTCCTGTGGGCGCGGGCCCAGCCTCTGCCCTGAGGCCCGGCCTAGGAGGGGCACAGACCTGCGCCCTGGGCTGGCGGGGCGGGGCCAGGAGGAGCCGAGGCTGCGGCGGACCTAGGGTCTGCTCTCTTGCAGAAGCCGTGGCGGGAGGCACGTCGTTTTCTATCCGACACTGAAGGTGCGTGCAGGGCTGGGGCTGCGGGTGGGGGCGGCCCTTGGCGAGGTGGCAGTGGGCAGTTGGGCCTCAGGGCCGGTGCAGCCGGCCGATACTCCCTCCGCCTCAGTCCTTGCAGGTGCGGCTGGAGCTGGCCCAGGAGCTGGGTGTGGGGCTGTCCATCTGGGAGCTCGGCCAGGGCCTGGACTACTTCTACGACCTGCTGTAGGCCGGACCTGCGTGCAGCCAGCGTGCCCTTTTCCAAGAGACAGAGGGACTGATGTGCGAAATACAGACTCTTTTCTATTTCCGGAGCTGTGTGCGCTGCGGCCTCTGCGGGGACCAAGCAGGCTGGGGACCCAGGCCCCTCAGGGCAGTAACCTGGGGCGGGGGGTCCTAACAGGGCCAGGGGGAAGCTAAGGATGCAGACCCTCCCGCCCAGCCTTGGCTGCATGCCCTCCGCTGGCTGTTGAGGCAGGGCCCCCAGTCCCCACCGCACAGGCGGCGGTGGCCTGCAGTCCCTGAGGGTTCAGAGGCTCTAAGGCAACCCCAGGCGCCTCTCCTTGTGGACGCCCCGGCAGGCATCACCCCAGGGCCGTGCAGAGGGACCGGCCTCCCACCCAGGAGCCTGGTGGGCACCATATGGCAAAGGCGTGGCAGAAACCGGGGCTCAGAGAGGCAGGCCCCCCAGAGCAGGGCATGGGCTGTGGTCACTGACAGCTCACTGTGGGCTGCTGCCCGCTGGCTGTGGCTGTTCTACCAGGAGGGCGCGTTGGGAAGAGCCGCTGTTGCTGGGAGTCAAAGGACAGCTGCCCTGGCCCTGCCGTTGGGGAGCCGACCGGCTCCACACAGGGGGCTCCCTCGGTGATGGCGCTGCTGGCCATGAGCGCGGGCGCAGCTTGCGGGGGCCAGGCTGGGGGGCTTCTAAGAGGGTGGGTCCCATCCTCGGGGTCGTGACCCAGCTGGACCCTCACAAGCTGTCCTGAGAAAGAGCCCAGCAGCTTACGGTGTGGGTCACACAGAAGATTCTAGACTGGCTGAGGGGCCGCCCACCTGGGCACCCCACTGCTTCAGGTCAGTAGGTGCAGGCAGGCTCTTGGGACGGTGGGTCCAACGCCCCCACCTGCCAGGGCCCCCAGGGCAGGCTCTAGGCTCTGGCTGGGAGGGTGAGGGCTGGGCCGGGAGGGGCAGACTCGCCACAGGGTCCATGTGGTCAGCACTTGTCGATCTGGAGCCAGGGGGTGATCCGATGCCAAGCAGAAGGCTCCTCAGTCTGGGTTGGAGGATGGGGGAACCAGCAAAGGGCACGGGGAGCTGGGAAGGGTCCTGGGGCCGGACACTTGGGGGCATCCACAGGGGAGAGGGGGCCCACACACGGCTGCAGGCAGGGTGGCCCTGGAGACAAGGGCCCCACGTGCCCTGTGGATCAGAGGGGAAACAGTCACGGGCCTGCAAGTCCTCCGTGAGACACAGGATGGCAGAGCCCGCCAAGCAGGGGCCTCAGGCAGAGGTGGACGAAGGCACAAGTGGGGCCGTGGCAACAGGGCAGAGGGCGCCGGCGGGGCTGGGGGACGGTTTGGCCGGACTCCTCACTCCCACTGGTTTCTTGTGGTGCCTAGAGATGTTCTGGGTGTGTATCTGCGGTTACTTCTGACCATCTCTGGTGTTCTGGGGGCTTCCACGGAGGACGGGGGACACAGAGATGGGATAGGACGGGGGTGGGCGGCCAGGTGCCCTGGTGGTCTGAGCGGTGCGGTGGTCAGTGGCCGCTCAGGGAAGGTATGCTGCACCAAAGGGACATGGGGGGTGGCCGGCAGGGTGGGCCTGTGGGCGCCAGGGGAGGGGCTGGAGGCCCAGCAGCCTGCCTCAGCCAGGGGGAGGGTTGGGTGCCCAGGAGGGGTCCCCCCTGGCCTCCATGCCCAGGAGTGCCTCTGGGCACTTCACCCATTTCCCCAGTCTGGGTCCTGTGACAGCTGCTTCCATCCCGACTTTATTCACAAAACCCATGAGTGACACTTAGGGATGAAGCTTCCAGGAACAAGATGTGAACAGAAAGAATGGCAAAGATGGGGCTGACCGCCTTTCAGGAGGACACCCCTGGGGAGGAGGCAGCCCTGAGGCTGGGGGAGCATCCTCATGTCAGGAGCGGGGCATGGAGATGGGGTGCCCACAGCACCGGCCATGGGTGGGTCAGCAAGACTCGGGGCCCCTCTCTGCTGCAGCTTGGAGCCCACCTCCTGGGCTTCCTTGCCAACCCGTGTAGGCAGGGGGGCGGGGGGGACCACGCCCATCTGGGAGCCCCACTCCAAGTACCAGACTGTGGGAGTGGGTGCAGGACCCATGGGTCAGGGCACTGAAAGACACGTCGGGGGCTGCTGCCCACACTTTATTAGACGTGCCCGGAGCCCGCCACGGCCCTGCTGTGGGGTGTGGGGGAGCAGCCTGCGGCCCGTCTCCAGCACCAGGGCCAGCGGGGCACCCCTCACCTCCCACCCCCTGCTCCAGACAGGGCTGGTGGGGAACACTGCCCTGGAGAACACTTGGAAGAGAAAAGCGCCAGAAGCCCCTGCATACCCCAGCCCCGGGAGTATGTGTGGCTGGCCGCTGGCTGCCCACTCGGGCATGGCACTCCTGAGGCTGGCGAAAGGTCCTTCGGCAAGAGAGGCAGACGGGGCCCGGCTGTCTCCTGGGCGGGCGATGTCCTTTGGCAGCGAAGCGGGGTGGCAGGCAGCTACGCACAGTAGGTGTCCGCCTTCACCACCTGGCAGTACATGGTCATGGCGAAGGTCAGGCCCAAGATCTGCGGGGACAGCATGGGCTGGGCAGGGCCACTCAGGACCACGGCCAGCGGCCAGTGCCATCACCGCAGCCGCAGCGTCCCAGGTGGGCTGGAACTCCCATCCCCCGGGAAGCCTCCAGCACTGCGTGCCCCACACAGGCCTAGAGGCACCCCGTGGGCTGGACCCAGACCCAGATCTGCTGTCCCCTTGGGGTGGGTTTGGCCACCCTGGGCTTGGCTGGTCTCAGGGCCCAGAGGCTCCAGGCTGGGCCCCCAGCAGTTGCTCTCCACCCCTCTACCGTACTGCGCTCACCCCTCTGGGAGTGTCTGGCTGTGACCCCTGCTGGCACCCCAGAGATGGGCTGCCCTGATACTGCTTGTGCTCCCCCGGGGGCTGGCACTCAGGTCTTGCACGAAGGTTGGCGAGCAGGGGCTGGCTGGCCGGCCCCTCACCAGGGTCTGCCTGCCCACCTTCGCTCTGTACCGGGCAGTCCTGTGACCACCGCCCACACACAGCCCCGGGGCAGGGGTGTGGGAACGCAGCTGGCGCACAGCTCTCTGCAGACACGTCCTGGCTGCGCTCCCGTCCCCGAGGAGACCAGACCCTCCGCTCAGGAGTCTGCCCCTGAGGCGTCACAGGTCGCCTCCCCGTGGACGCTGTCCTTGACAATCCCCTGGGAAGCCCCCTGCACCTCTGCCGGGGATCCAGACTCCCCACTGCCCTGTTCTTTAGGCTCAGGGCTGGGGTGGGGTCCCTCCTACCTGCACCAGGGCCGTGCACAGCCCGAAGACGCCCACGGCCAGCAGGTTCTCCTGGAGCCACATCTTCACGGTCTCGTAACACGGCTGGGGGAAGAGTCGGCGTCACGGGGGCGGCGAGGTCAGCCCTCCGCCCCCACGGCCCCGGGCCGCAGCCAGCCGGAGGGCAGACTCACCGCTTTCCACCAGGTGCCAGGCGCGTGCAGCCCGCAGCTCTCGCTGAACTCCAGGCAGCAGGAGTCGGGCACGCGCGTTGCATTGTAGACCTCGAACCAGTCGGTGTAGTTGGAGACCCCGCAGCAGCGGAACTGCAGGAGAGGTGGAATGGGACTCTGCTCGAAAGGGACCCCGCCCGGGTCCCGCCACGCCCCCCGGCCCCGCCCGGGTCCCGCCCCCACCACGCCACGCCTCACGTCGGTCTGGATGATGCTCCAGGCGTTGGTGAGGCCCACGTTGCCCGGGGTGCCGTACAGGTGCAGGCCCTTCTTCAGGTCCTGCTGGGCGTACTTGTCGATCTGCAGGACGGCAGGGGCACCCTGCGGCCAGCTCCACCCGCCTCGGCCGGCCCCGCGCCTGCGCCGGCCCCTGGTGCCCGCCCTCCTCCTCCCCGCAGTCACCCCTCCCAGAAGGCGCCGCCAGGCTCTGGCGCCCCGAGGTCTCCCTGTCCCTCTCCTGCTGAGCATGGGGTTGGACGCAGACGCGTCAGCACGAGCTTCTGGCGGTTAACTTGCAGAAGGAGACAGACGGGCACCGAACACCCAGGGCAGCGTCTGCACACGCCCACCACGACCCACGGCTCCGTGTGTCTGGCCTACAAGGCCCAGCTCTTGGTTCCTAAGACCATTCGTTCTCCATAAAGGAACCAGGCTACATGGAGAAATGGCCGATTCCAGGGGGCAGGGGCCCCCCAAGATGGACCTGGGGGGGTGTCTCCTAGCACCAGAGAGGGAGGTACCAGAGGAGCAGGTAAGGGATGTGGGAGCCACAGAAAGAGCTCCAGCTGCCAGAGCTAAACCAGATGAATAAAAAATAACAGTGTTGGGGTAAGACCAGAGGATAAGCCCGTAAATGCACCCTCACGTGTGCCATTAAGCGGCGGCGGGGGTGGGAGGCGTCCCCATCGAGCTGACACGCAGCTGAAGACGCGGCCATCTGTGAGCTCAGACTTCCTGGCGCCTCCCCCAAGCCTGGCCTCCAGGACCTGTGGTTACAGCCAGAGCCGGGCCAGGCCCAGCATCTGTCCACGCAAACCTGGGGTCCCTGGGGTCAGTTCTCAGCCCCTACTGTCCCCTCGTCGGTGGGAGGGTGCAGCCCCAGGCCCGCCGTGGGGCAGCTGTACCTTGTCAGTGTAGGCGAAGAAGAGGATGGTGATGCAGGCCTCGAGCAGGAACACCAGCAGAAGCGCCACGAAGAACTGCGGGCCAGACCACCAGCCTCAGCTGCGCGGCCCACCCGCCCCACACAGGGTCCTGGGGGGCCGAGAGGGCTGGGACAGGAGCTGGGAGGGGGTCCTGGGGGAGAGGGGAAAACAGGCCCAGTACCAGTCGAAGGGGCTCTGCCTGGCACACGTGTGGGGGTGCGTGTACATGTGCGTCCATCAGGACCACCCCCCGCCCGGCCTGCTCCCCCACTGGACTCACGGTGAGCAGAAGGCATCTGTTCTCCTTGATGGCCCCAATGCAGCCCACGAAGCCGATGGCCATCACGAAGGTGCCAGTGACAATGAGCAGGTTGGCGGCCGACAGCGATGGGAAGGAGGAGGAGAGGGTGGCGAAGTTGCCCTGCGTGGCCGCCAGCCAGATGCCCACGCCGAGGATGCCGCAGCCGCCCAGCTGGGCCGGGATGCAGAGGGGGACACGGTGAGGAGCCCACCAGGTGCCCGCTGACTGCCCGGCCTGTCGCCCGTGCCGGGTCTCCCCACGCATCATCGGCCCCAGCCGTCCCCCCGGAGGGGCCGCCCCCAAACCCACACTGGCCCGCTCCCCTGACCACTGCAGCTTTTACTGAACTTCATAATTGCTCCTTAAAAAATCGATTCAAACAGGAGGAAGAGGCAGGAGAGGCCAGGCGGTGATGAATCCAGGGAGATGCCTGGCCCTGGGGGTCGGGGGCGGGCCAGCATGGCCACGAGGGGGGGCCGCAGCCCGGCTGGGACTCTGAACCCTCGGGGACACCCCAAGATGAAACGGGAGCTCGAACCCAAGGCTGGCGGGGTCTGTTGACCATAAGGAAGTGTGTGTCTGTGTGTGTCCAGGCTGGGCAGGGTCTGCTGGCTGTAAGGAGACGTGTGTGTGTCCCCATAATGAGACCTAAGTGTGGGTACCCATAAGGAGACGTATGCGAGTGTGTGTGTATTCCCATAATGAGACGTGTGCACATGTGAGTGTATCCCCATAAGGAGACGTCTACACGCCTGTGTGCCCCACCTGTGGGAGCAGGATGACCCCCACGTGGCTGGTCCCCGCCAGGCACAGGGACAGAGCTGTCCACGGTGCTGACCGCAGGCAAGGCGGCCCTGAGGGAGCAGGGCACCCGCCCCTGCCCGGGGGCACCATCCGGGGACCCTGAAGAGGCCAGGACAGGCGCGGGTCACAGCCCTCCCACCAGCCAACGGGCAGGAAATGGGCGCCCAGGGCCACCCCAGGTCCCCGGGCTCTCCTGGGGCGCCCGTGTGAACCACACACATGGACAGGCTCCCCTGGCCTCTGCCCAGCGTCTCAGCAGAGGGGGGACTCAGGTCAGGGATGGGGGCTGCCCCCCTGGAGGAAGCTGAAGCGGGCACCCTGGTCCCACGCCTGCTCGTCCCCGCTGACTGCGCAGCACCCTTTCCCGCTCCAGGGGCTCAGCCCTAGGCCGCCGCTGGTGGGCATGCGGGGCTGCCTCTGAGCAGAGGGGAGCACCGTCCTCTAAAACCCAACAGGCAGCCAGCCGGCCCCGCCCTCGAGGTCAGTGTGGACGGCTCCATTCCGCAGGACGAGCGCCTCCGAGCCCCTGGCCCCACGGGGACCCAGGGAAGGTCATGGGAGGGCATCTGGGGGGAGCGTCCTGCAGGGCCTGGGCCCACCCGGAGGGGCGTCATCCAGGGCGGCCTCACATGCCGTGACGTGGACCCAGCCCACGACGACACCCAGACGTGTCACCCGGCCCTCCACACTCAGGCACAGACCAGTCACCAACAACAGCGCGAACGCGATGCGGGCACATGGGTAAGAAAATTACCTGTAATTGTGAAGCTGCTTCTGCGTAGGCAGCTTTTAAAACATTTTGGCAGGAAAATTACAGCCTCCGAGTACGGGGGAAACGGGCCCTCTGAGACCCAGGTGGAGAAGCAAACGCAGAAGGGCCTGGGTCCCTCCCAGGACAGGGCCGCGGGCAGCAGTGGGCAGGGGGCTCCACCCCACGCCACTGATGTCCTCCCTGCCCCTCCCCAGCCCCGCTGGGGCCCAGGAGCAGACCCCCCACGGCAGCCCCCCCGGGGTCCCCCATGCCAGCCCCGCAGTCCCCAGGGCCTCCTTGTCTCCCTCTCACACTCAGAGCGCACACGCTGCCCCCTGTGCCCAGCCTGGCATGCGCTCCCCACCTCCTGCCGTCTGTCTTCTTGTCCATATTTTTGGGGACTGGCCTAGGGCTAGGCAGGTGGGGCCCCTTGGTGAGGCCCACAGGGGGCGCCAGCCCTCCAGTCACGTGGCTCGGCGTGGCAGATGGCCGGGCAGCTGGCCCAATCCTTGGAACGTGGTGGAGGGCCTGGTGCCCACAGGGGCCAAGCCTGTGTCAGAAGCCCCTCACCAGGCAGCTGGCACCATCTGGGGGGTGGGGCCGGGCACGGGGGCGGGTGTGACACCCCCCTCCCAGCCAAGAACAGCCCCAGGGGAAGGGAAGAGCCCATCCCTGTGAAGTTCACGGATGGAAAAACTTGTCCCCGGGCTAGAAAGCAGGTCTGCAGGTGCCCAGGGCGGGGGCTGGGGGCCCGAATGCCAGGGCTCGTCACCCTGGTGGGGAGCAGAAAGTCTGTGCAATGGAGGGGCTGCCCTGGCGGTGCAGCGGGGAGGACTCTGCACTTGCGGTGGAGTGGGCACACTCCCTGGTCCAGTCCGGGAGCTAGGAGCCCACGTGCCACGCAGCCAAAACAAAGAATCTGTGCAACTGACTGTAACTGTTTTCCTTAGGCTCCAGAAAGCCCCATGTCCCTCCAGGCTCTGAGACAGGGGCCGGCTCCAGCCCACCAACCCTCCTGAGGCTGGTGTCCGAGAGGAGGGGGCTGCCCTTCTGGGGCAGCTGGGGAGCAGACGGGCCGGACGTCAGCAGGGACCTAGGGCTGCACCCCTTCCACCCACACAGGCCCTGGGGCCTCTCCACTGCTCCCCGGCCCCCTTAGGGGCTGAAACCACACCTCTCTGCCCCAAACAGAGCTCCCAGGGCCCCCTGACTAACTGCTGCCACCCCCAACCCACGTGAGAAGCCACCCAGTCCCTGATCGCGGGGCTTGCGTGCCGGTGGGGCTGGGATAGGGAGACCCACCACTGCCCCCACAGGGGACCAACCCTGGGCCCCAGAGGCCTGTCTTCCAGCTGCTGGTCCCAGGGACGGGCCTCGTGCCGGACAGCCATCCTGTGGCATCCTGACCCCTGACCTGACTGGGACGGCCAAGGAGCCCGACTTCCCACACTCGCTGCCCACCCACCCTGGCTTGTGGTCGCCAGCAGCAGGACCCCCACCGCCCCGCCCCCTCCCCGCTGCAGGAAGAAAGCGGAACCAGGACACACAGCTGCCCCCAGCCCCCCAAGAAGGCCCGAGCCGAGAGCAGTCACGGGGTCTGAGGTCCACAGACCCCCACCCTGCCCCATGACCTCCAGCAGGGCCCCTCAGCCTGCCTGTTTCCCTGGTGGCAGGGGCGCTGGGGGAGGTGGTCCCAGGTCTTGGGCCCTTGGGCCCCTCTTCCAGCGCCCCAGGACACCTGGGCCAGGCCTCAGTTTGCCGCTGGTCAGAGGGGAAGACCAAGCACCCCCGGGCTGGTGGGGGACGCAGGATCCACAGAGTGGGGAAGCCCAGGCAGCAGACGACGGGAGCAGGCATGGCTCCCACCGGAGCCCCACAGGTGGGCCCAGCCCACGTTGCGGGGGAGGCGGGGCAGGGAGCGCTCCTGCCTGGACGGGGCTGGGGGACCACAGCGAAGCTGACCACACCCGGGAGCAGCTAGGCTGCAGGCTGAAGCCCAGCCAGTCACAGTAGCACCTTTGCCTTTCAGAATCAGTCCTGCCTCCACTCAGGACCACCGCCACCGCCAAGATCACCCCTAGGGCTGCAGAAACTGTCCCGGGGAGCCCTGAGCACACACCCGGAGATGGGGAGGGGCAGGGAGAGTGCCCAGGAGCTGCTCAGCCCCACCACCGCCTGAGCCCCGCACACAGCCCTCCTCCCCAGGGGACAGCCCTGACTAGGGGACCCTAGCCCTAGGCTGCCCACCGCCTGCACACCTGGAAGGCAGCGGTGCCCCTGGAAGGCAGTGGTGTCCCCAGAGCGGCTGTGCCTCCCCGGGAGGGCCTGGCGGCCCTGGGTGGGCAGAGAGTCTGGGGGTCGGCCGGCACCTGGGCCTCACCCTTCCCCGGTGCCCCATGCAGCCCGCCAGGGCCTTCCAGCCTCCGTCTCAGGGCGCCCCTTCGCAAGCCCCAGGGATACTATCAACGCCTGAGCCGCGTTCTTGACCCACAGGCCACACAGGACCCAGCAGATCCACACAAGGACCTGAGGCTGGAGGCCCCAGCCCGGCCCTTCCGGACCCCATCCAGGAGCCCCCAGGGAAAGTCCATCCAGCCGAGCACACTGACCTCCAGGGCCAGCCCCCTGCCCACCCTCAGCCAGGGACCCCAGGGAGGGACAGGGGCAGAGGGCACTGCTGGAGAGGCTGGCTTAGGCCCAGGAGAGTGCCCGGTGTGCGGGGTGGGCCCGGCGGGGTCTGCAGTGGAGAAGGGGGCTCCGGGGTGACTCAAAGACAAGTGTGCCCTGCCGGGCTGTGGGCAGGAGGGAGCCATGGGGCGGGAGGGGTCACTGCACACTGACGTGCAAGTGGCATTCCACCTCCCCTCAGCTTCTCCGGAGTGGGATTTCTCCCAAGTGGGAAACAGCAGGGGCAAAAATACCTCCAGTGGGGGCTCAGCACCCCCAGAGAGCAACGGTGCTGGTCCCGAGAAAGGGGAGCTCCGGCCCACCCCCTGCAGCCGTGTCAGCAGCACAAGGGGCCGACAGGGTGGGGGTCTAGCCAGCCCCTGGCCACACTCATCACCCCTGGCCTCAGCGTGTTTCCCGGGGGTCTCCCCTCCGACCCCAGACCTCCGAGGCCGCCGGACAGCAAGGCGTGGTGTGGAGGGGCCAAGCCAGTCCCCAGGCCCAGGGCGCTTGGCCGCAAAGTGTAATTGGATAATAAAGCGATTGGATTTTCTAGCTCCGGAGAGGGTCCCCGGAGCAGAGGACGGCATCCACGGCAGGCATCAGTGGAGCGTGTCCACCCTGCAGCTGGTGTGGAGGCACCTTTGGGGTTCACAGGGCAGAGACAGCTCCGCCGGGCCATTCAGGGGGCTGCCCCCCAGGCACAGGCCCCTCGAGGGCCCCCTCTCCTTCTCCAGACAAGCAGACACCCCCGTCTCCAAGGGGGCTGGAAGGGGGGGAGAAGCAGGTCCTGCTCCCCCCGGGACCTCCCCCTGCCACTGCCCACCCCCCATCCGCCCGCCACCCTTCCTGCTCACCAGTCATACAGCCACCTGCAGCCCTCTCCCGTCACACTGCCCCGGGCAGACGGACCCTGTCAGCGGCTCACCGCTCACCACACCAGTGCCTGCCGCTCCTGGCCAGTGTCCCCCGCTCCTGGCCAGTGTCCCCCGCTCCTGGCCAGTGTCCCCCACTCCTGGCCAGTGGCCTGCTCCTGGCCAGTGCCCCGCTCCTGACCAGTGTCCCCCGCTCCTGGCCAGTGTCCCCCACTTCTGGCCAGTGGCCTGCTCCTGGCCAGTGCCCCGCTCCTGGCCAGTGTCCCCCACTTCTGGCCAGTGGCCTGCTCCTGGCCAGTGCCCCGCTCCTGACCAGTGTCCCCCGCTCCTGGCCAGTGTCCCCCGCTTCTGGCCAGTGCCCTGCTCCTGGCCAGGGCCCCCCAAGGAGAAGAAGGTCGCACCCCATGCACCTGGGCAGAGCTCAGCCTCAGCCACCTCTGCGGCTCACTCCTGGCCTCTGGGAGCTTCTCAGCTCCAGCCCGGGTCCAGTCCCTCCCAGGAGCCCATTGCAGAGTATGACCCTTCAAGCGACGCCTGGGGAGGTGGGCAACTGGGGCAGGAGCCTCCCACCCTTCCCAGCAACCCACTTCTTAGGCCAGAGCCCAGGAGAGACGGGACGTGCAGCGAGGTGGTGCTTTCCGAGCCTTCAGCGGTAAGCGGAGCTCAGGCGAACGAGTCACAGTCGGCGGCCTCCTTCTGGGGTCCAGAGCCCCCGCAGGGGGGACAGCCACGCCCCCACGCTCCCACCGCGGAAGGAGAGCAGCGTGGGGAGTGAACAATGGAGCGGCCGTGACCTTGGCATCATCTCTCCACAGGCCCCGCAGCCCGGATGGTGGGCCCCAGGCCCCCCGTGCAACTGTGGCACCCCCGCAGGCGCGCCCAGCCCCCCACCTGGGTCTGGACGGCAACTCTGTCCTCCAGTGTTTGCGTTTTTCAAGGGAGGGGGCCCCCCAGAGCACCAACAGCTCTGACCCTGGACACAGGCACCTCATCTGAGCAAACCCAGCCACCTTAGATAAAGTTAGAGAAGCGCCCCGCCTGGCTGGAGGCACAGCAGAGGGGCCCGACAGTTCTCCCGCTGGCCCCCAGCCCCTGTCCCGCCCAGGAGCCGGTCCAGCAGAGGGCTCACCCTCCCATCCCCAGCCGCCGCCCCCCAGCCCCTCTGCAAGTGCGCTCCCCGGAGCCAGGAAGGCCGGTCTGCTGGGGAGGCTGTGCCCTCGAAGAGCGAGGGCGCGGCGGAGGGGAAGGAGCCAGCGGCCCAGCAGACGGCAGGCGCAGGGCCCCACGCCACCGCGCGGCAGGGGCGGGACACGTCCGGTCTCAGCAGGAGACAGAGCGGTGGGGACGCAGGGCGGCCGCCCAGGGTGCAGACTCGGTGGACCCCAGCAGTACCGGAACCCCCAGGAGCCGCGCCGCCCTGGCCCCAGCGACCCCAGGCACACCCCCAGCCAGCGTCCCGAGTGTCCCCTCCCCCCTCCCGCCCCCAGCGGAAGCGGAGACCCGGGCCCGCCATCACTCACCCAGAAGAGCAGGTTGAAGGCAAACATGAGGTACTTGACGCCCTGCAGGCAACCGCGCGCCATGCTGCAGCGCTTCAGCTCTAGGAGGAAGATGAAGGACAGGTCCAGATAGAAGACCACGTACTTGTTGCCCTTGGGCGACGTGTAGCGAGCCTGGGCCGCCTTGGGGCCGGGGCTGGCGTGCAGGCCGAAGAAGGGGCCGCCGTGCGCGAAGCCCGGCTCCTTGCCCGGCGGCGACGGGCTGCGCCGGTAGGTGGACTCGTCCGTACTCGTGACGCCCCGGGCATGCCCGGAAGCCGCAGCGCGCCGAGACCCCGCTGGCGGCCGGGCTCGGCGGCCTCCGACAGCATGCGAAATGCAACGCGCTTTGCAGATGAGGGGTGACCCACTTGCTGTCTGGGGACGACGGGGGGCAACTCCGGTCCTCCGCCCAGATCGAGGCAGCGCAGGGGGCGCAGCCCGAACACACCCAGGGTGCACAAGAGGCCCACCCACCCCGGGCCAGCGAGGCCCTGGGTCAGCCTGGGGACCCAAGCCGGGGGCGGTCCCAGGAGAGCAGGCAGAGGGGCGACTGGAAAGACAAGCCTCTGGGAGGGGCCGGGGCAGGAGAAGAAGCCGGGAGGGCGCTCTGGGGCCCCCGGGGCGCTGGGAGGGTGGTCACCCTGCCAGGCAGGAGCGGAGGTGTTCAGACTGAGGGCGCCAGACACAGGGGCGCAGGAGTCATCACTGGGCCCAAGGCAGGCCAGAGACTCCAGGTCCCGAGCCCACGGGACCCCTCTGTCCCTGCCCTGGTCCTGTCTTCCGGGCATGTGCAACGTGCAGTCACACAGGACCCCTCGCGGGTGGAACACGCTGCTGCCACTGCCTTGAGAGTCTCCGTAATCTCTGACCAAGGTGCCCTGACCGTCACGTTGCACCGGCCCCTCGCGGCAGCACACTCACACTCCAAAGCCCCTTGCACAGAGGCTTTGCGCCTGTGCTGCTGCGGGCAGGCGGGACAGACGCCCCTCCACTGCACCCCCACAGCCCACCCCACTGGTGGACGCCCTGGGTGTGGAGGGAAGACCCCCGCCCGAGGCCCAGATGCCCCCTCCCCTCCGCCTGCAGCCCCCCTCCTCCCCTCGGTTCATCAGGGGGCCCAGCCCCAGGGAGGATGGTGCCACAGGCAGGGAAGCCCCCCGTCCTGGACTGGGTCTACCTGGTCACCAAGGCCACCCAGGGCAGCACCACCCACCCTGGACAGATGGTCCAGGAAGCTGAAGTCGAAAGAGGGAAGGACTCGCCCAAGGTCAGCAGAACTCAGAGGGAAGGAAGGCACGGGGGAGGGGAGGGGGAAGGGAGAAAAAGTTGGGGGGGTAGGCGACAAAGTCAGACTGAAGAGGCCGAGCCTGAGCCCTGCTGGGCCCGGGAAGGGACACACAGCCGACCAGGGCCCAGTGGCCACGCGAGCTGTGGAAGCTGCCCACGCAGGCTCTGCAGAGACTGCTGGCCGCAGCTCCAGAGGCAGCAAGTGGCAGTGGTGACCCCTGAAGATCCTGGGGGCCCCCAGCAGCCTCTGGTCACCTCCCCCTTGCCCCAACTCTGCCAGCCCACACGCCTGAGCCAGGGACAGCCCCTCGGGGCCCTGAGAGCAGGCGGGCTGAAGCCTTCCCGCCACCCCTCAGCCCACTGCAAGGATGGCTGGCTCCCGCACGGGGCCCAGCACCCAGCGTGCCCTCTCCCCTGCCTCACTCAGCCAACACCATGCCAACGCCCCAGGACTCCTGAAAACCCTGTCCAGTTTCTAAAACCCTGCTCCGGTCCACCCTCCACCCTGGTGAGCCGCTGAGCCTGAGCTGAGATTCACCCAGGAGACAACCAAGGATGCCGGGGTCAGCGGGAACGCAGATGTGAGCACAAGGTCGCCGCCAGCCCCTGGACCCCCATCCCCAATGTCCAGCAGTTCCCCCAGCAGCGGGACCCCAGCGACACATGCCAACAGGGTCACACCGGGCTGGCTTAGTCCTGGTCTGTCCAAGGAATAGGAGAGCCTCCGCCAGCGAGGCCCTTGGGCCAGGCATGGTGGAGCCGCCCCGCCTGCCCTACCTGGCTTGCCGGGGAAGAAGGTGGGCGGTGCCCGATGGCCCTGAGGGCCAGGGAGCCAGCAGGCAAGCAGTCACCAAGGCCAAAGCCGCAGCCTATGGAGGGAAGACAGGCGGAGTGGAGGCCACGCTGCGCCTCATTCCAGCCTCCACGGGGTCTCTGCACCCGGGGCGGGGTCCCTGCGGGGACAGAGGGCCAGCTGGGGGCAGGGGGTGGTATGCTCAGACTCACGGCCTGGCCCCGGGGCTGCCTCCCGACCCTCTGAGGTGCCTAGAGGCACAAGCGTGACCATGTGGGTACATGCACGGGGAATACACGTGGTCAGCAGACTGAAGGCCATCCAGCCCCCGGCAGCCCTGCAGCCCGGAGCCCCGCCTGAGGGTCCACGTCCCCCAGGGCCCTGCACCCCGCGCCCTCCCGCTTCCCAGAGACGGATGCCCTGAGCCCCCAGCCTCCCCGCGGAGCCAGCCAGCAATGAGTCACGAGGCCCATTAATCTGCCCTTAATGGACTCACACGGAGCAGGGGACTCGGTCACCATTACCAGCCAGGGATTGCAGGGGAGGAGGACCAGGGTCACACTCCGCCCCCCTATGCCTGACCCCTCGGACAGGGGCTCCCTGCAGCCCGGCGGGGGCGGGGGGGAGGGGCTGGTGGTCTTTCCAGCAGCTGGCAGCAGACAGCAGAGGCTCATGCGCCTCCCACCCCCCTGTCCACTCAAGCGACCCCTGCCCCTGCCCACCCCCACATCCACTCCCTCCCGGGCCACCCTCTGCTGCGTGTCCTCTCAAACCCACACCTGCGGCAGACACGAAGCACCGAGCGGGTGGAAGCCTGGCAACCTGAGACCTGTCCCCTCACTCGGGGTGGCCAGCACCCACCGCTGAGAAAGGAGGCACCCGGACCAGGCCCGGGACCCCACCCCCGCCTCAGCGACCCCTGTGCCCCCGCGCCCGGGGAGGACGCGTCCAAGGAGGGGTTCAGGCCCAGAAGCACGGAGGGCAGGGGCACGAGGGGGGCCCCCCACCGTGTTCTCTGATGAGCCTCTCCCAGGAGCTCACAGCAACGCTGCAGACACTGAAACCCATGCCCCCCGCCCCCCACTCCCAGGCCTGAGGCCGCCTTCACAGCCACACCCCCCAAACCTGGGCTCAGCAGGTGGCCTCCCAGCCAGACCCTGGGGGCAACTCCACCCGCACCCCTCCCAGCCGCCGGCCCCCCTAGACCCCCACCCAGGGCAGCCCTGGGACCCTCCACAGGTGACCGCCATGCCCCTCCGTGAATCCAGGGCCTCACCCTCATCCCGGGCAGCCCAGACTCAAGCCTGCAGTCGGGGGGGGGGGGGGGGCAGCTGTGGGGCCAAACAGGACTGGACAGGACCCGGCTGCCCCCGCCACCTCACCCAGCCCGGCCTCCTCCTCCAAGAAGCCTCCTGCCCCCGGCTTGCTCTGGGCCGCCTCTGTGCGCAGGACCCCACAGGCCATGATGCCCAGAATAACACGCAGACCAGGCAATTGGGATGGGGCGGACACAAGAAGCCCAAGACAGCCCTAGCCCAGCCTGCCAGCCCTGGGCTGGGCCTCTGGGACTCTCTGGGGCCCAGAACTGGGGGTAGGAGGAAACCCGGAAGGGTGGGCACCTACCTGGCCAGACCGAGGCCCAACTCAGAGAAGGACCTTCCCGAACACCGAAAGTGCTGGCCCGGCGGCCTCGGAGGCCTGGGGTGGACGGGCCCCAGCGGAGCCCGCGAGCGCGTTCACAGCTCAGGGTGCAGAGCCTAGCGGCCGCCCAGCACAAGCCCCCAGGTTGCCGGCTCCGAGGCGGCTGCGAGGAGCCAGGAGGCCCCGCCAACACAAACAGGCCTGCGGAGCCGGCCTTCCTGCTGCCGCTTCAGCCCCCGGCCCCGGGGGAGGGGCGTGCAAGCATCCAGGCCCACAGGCTCTCCTCCCCCTGGGCTGGAAGACACTGCCTCCAGGAAAGGGGTCCCCGTGGAAGAGGCCACCCAGGGGCCTCCAGCACTTCCCCAGGCCCATGAGGCCAACCCCGAGCTCAGGACCCTCCCACCACCCTGGGGCCTGGCAGCCCCCTTCCCCACCTGGGCACTGACACTCCAGCCCAGCAGGCCCCCTACACACCAGTGCCTACAGGGAGCCCCATGCATGGCCGAGTGGGCCATCCTCAAGGGCCCAGCCCGTCCACGGTCACTAGGTTGCACATCTGGCCTGCAAACACCGCCTGGTACCCCAGTCCCTGGGGCCCAGAGGGCCACTGCGGGTGCAGCAGGTGGGCGAATACCCCATCAAACCCCAACAAGGTATCCACGCACCCCACTCACCACACCGCCCCCCACGTGTGAGCACAGCCTACCCAGAGCAGCCAGAGCTCAGATGCTCAAGGCTGAGCTGGGACCCCCGCCCCTCCAGCTGGATGGCCTCCAGTCTCCCCACCTCACAGAAGGGGAGGCCAAGGCTGTGGTCCAGGATGGGGCGCAGGGTCAGCTGCCTCCCGGGCAGCTCTGTCTCCCAGGTGGCATTTCCAGGACAACACCCAGGCCACAGGGTCTCAGCAGCTGAAGTTTGGATCATGGGTTTCCTCTTGTCCCCCGCCTGCCCTGAAGTGACCCTCCTCTGGCAGGAAGCAGGGAGCACGGGTTCCAGACCACATGTGAGCACCACCCTCCCACCCTGTGCCCCTGCCTCTGGGGAAAGGACCCCGCCTCCTCGGAAACCCAGGGCCTCACTCTCCCTGCCCATCTCCAGGCCAGCCCGGGGTCTGGGCCACATCTGCGCTCACCCCCAGGGCCCCCGTCACAGGCCTGTCCCACCCCTCCACGCCCCAACCAGTGCGCCGGGCCTCTGGGTCGCTCTCTGCCCCTGCCCACCCTGAGGACAGCTGGACTACGCCCAGCCTGCCCCCTCAGCATACACAGGGGACGGAGAAGGCCCAGCAGGGGAGAAGGCTGAGGTGAGGCCCCCCAGGGTCCTCAGGTCCAGCCTGGCCAGGCCTGAGCCAGGGCGGAGTGGGCATGGAGGCCAAGTGCCCCAAGGAGCCTCTGAGCACATGTGTGCTGGTGGCCGGTGCCACCACGCTGCTCAGCAAGCCCCTCCTGGGAAACCAGGGAGCTGCAGGGAGGAGTCCCCCGCCAAATCCACACGCAGTTCTCAGAATTTCAGGAATGTCAACTTGGCTCTCCGTCCCCTCAGTCTCTGGGAGTAAACAACCGCTGGGCCAGAGCGGGGTGCGGTGGACCAGGGGCCCCTCCCCCAGGAAGCCCACGCGCACCCACCCCTGCTCCAGAAGAGCCCCCCGCCTGGCACCCCAGACCCCGCCTGTCCCCCTCACCTCTGCAGACGCAGCCGCCTCTACACCCGAGCCTGGGTCCACCCCAGGCCGCTGTGACTCAAGGCCCCATCCCAGCCGGGGACAGGATGTGCGTCCAGTCAGCCTGGGAAGGGGGGGCAGGCAGGGCAGGGAAGTGGCTTCTGCTCGTGGCTCCGCACGTGCCAGGGTGCGGGACAGCGAACACCACTGGGGCAGGCGGCCAGGGCCAAACTCCAGACTGGCAGAAGCGCTGGCCAGCCTCCCAAGGACCCCAGGACCTCCACCTCCCTGCCCCTCGCCTACAGCCAGAGTCCACCACCCACCCCAGGAGGACTCTGAGCTGACACCTGGGACCCAACACGGGCCCACCTGCCCCAACCAGACACTCTCACGCCCCAGGCTAGTAAACCTGAGGAGACCCTGCCTAGATGCCTGGATCACAGGCGCCACCGTGCCTAGGCCACCCTCCTCAGCCCAAAGCCCGCCTCCTCCAGGGAGCCTTCCTTGCTTCTCAGTGCGCACGGCCCTCCCCCAGCCCCCAGTCACAGGATCAGGGGGCTCAACTCTCGCCACTTCCGGAGACACAGCCCCCACCCACCCCACCCCCGCTCCCTTTAAACCCCACCGCCTCCAGCTCCCACAGCTTCTGTCCCGCAGGGACGGCCTCCGGCCTCAGCCTGGGGTCCCTTCGCCGGCGTCTGCCCGGCTCCCTCTTCAAGTCTCAGCTCAAAAGACACCCCGAGCGCCGTCCCGACCCTCAGAGCCGGCGCTCCCGGGTCACAGGCGCCCGCCTCGGCCGAGCGCGGACTGGGGCCTGGGCCGCCAGCGCCTCCCCCGGGAAGAAGCAGGAGGGGGGCCAAGCTGACCGCGGTGCTGGCCAGAGTCCCCCACTGGCTGGGTCGCCCCGCGCCCGCCCGCCGCCAGGGATACGGGCAGCTACCGGGCCGGGACCGTTACTGTGCGGGCGACCCGGCCAGGCGGCGACCTCGAGGGTCCCTCGGACTCTGCACAGAGACCCCCGAGTGCCCGCGGGCAGCGGCTCCAGGCGAAGAGGCCGCCCCTGCCTGGCCCCTCTTGGCCACTCTCAGCGCCCCAGACCCCGCTCGCAACTTGTTGCTGAGACGCGGCTCTGCACTCGGGGCCCCAATTCGCGCGGGTCCGGCTCGGGCGCGGGCAGCGGGCAGCGGGCAGCGTGCCCTGCAGCACTCCGTCCGCGTCCCGGCGGGGGCGCTGTACCTGCCTAGCGCCCGCCGCGCGACGTCAGTCAGCCGGGCACGAGGAACGCGAACGCCGCCGCCGGGCCCTTGCGGCTCCGCTCGGACGCCGTAGGCCGGGACGTACCAAAGCGCGGGCGGGTGGCTCCTGCCGCGGAACCGCCCCACACCCCCCCCCCCCCCCCCCCCCCCCCCCCCCCCCCCCCCCCCCCCCCCCCCCCCACGACCACGGACCCCGGACCTGGACTCCGGACTTCGGACCCCGGACCCCGGACTCCGGGCCCGCGCGGAGGAGGCGCCATCGCGGTGGGAGGCGGATGCGGGCGGCGCCGAACGGCCGCGGGGCGAGGAGCGGGCCGGGCCGGCACCCCCGCGCCATGGGTGCGCCCGGGCGGAAGCGCCGGGAGATGCGGGCGTCGGGCCGCCGGGCCGTGAAGCTTCTGGCTCCCGCGCCGCCGCCATGATCATCCCCGTGCGCTGCTTCACGTGCGGCAAGATCGTCGGCAACAAGTGGGAGGCCTACCTGGGGCTGCTGCAGGCCGAGTACACCGAGGGGTGAGGGGCGCGCTCCCGGCCGCCGGCCTGCGGGGCCCGGGCGGGAGCGGGGGGGCTCGGCCTGCGGGGCCCGGGGCGGGAGCAGGGGGGCCCCAGCCTGCGGCGTCGGCGTCTCAGGCGGGTGTCGGGGATCCAGGCTTGAGGGGTTGCGGTCTTGGGGCGGCAGTCAGGGGTCCCGGACTCCAGGTCTGGGTCAAGGGAAGTTCATCAGATCCCAGGTGACCCGGGCAAGGCTTTCATTCTCGGAGCCTTTACCAGCCCTGTTCTCCAGACCTGCTCTCAGGAAAGCATTTCCCACCGCGCAGTTCAGGCAGAGGAGGGGAGCTGGTTGTCAAGCGCTGGTGTCTGGGGACTCGGGTATCCTGGGTCGTGTCCACCGCAAATAGACCTCTGGCCGTCTGTGTCCATCAGCTCCCTAAGGTCTCCCTGCTATTAGGCCCATCCCCGTGTCCTCGTTGGAGAAGACCCTGATGCTGGGAAAGATTGATGACAAAAGGAGAAGGGAGCGGCAGAGGAAGACATGGTTAGGAACCATCACCAACTCAGTGGACAGGACTTTAAGCAAACTCTGGGAGATAGTGGAGAACAGAGGAGCTTAGCGTGCTGCAGTCCATGGGGTCACTGACACGACTGAGGAACTGAACAACACCCCGTGTCCTGCAGACTCACAGGCTCTTTTAGTACACAGGAGAAGTTTCTGACGACATGGCCCTCATACTCAGGCTTTTGTGGGGTCTCTCTTCCGTGTTTGTCCCTTGGCTCTGCACCCAACACCTTACTTGTCCGAGTCTACTCTAGACGAGAGTCTGATCTTTGGTCCTTGTGTGGACAGCCCCGTCCTTAGCAAAGTTTGAATCTCTGGGACCCGGAGTGTGCCAGCCAGGTGAAGTTCTCAGCTGTGTCGGGTGAATGGGGAAGCAATGGATGGCCTTAGTGTTTGCACCAGGCTCCGAGGAGGCTGTTGGAATGACCAGAGTGCAAAGGGAATGCTGGCAGCCTGCCCCAGACATCTCCCCAAGATGCCCCAGGTCAGGGTTACCCAAACAGGCTGCCCCTTTCCCGAGCGCCACGTTGGTGTCCACACACAGGAGGCTTTGAGGGTGATCGGGGCTGCGTCTCTGGGAGATGAGAGGGGTCTTCCCTCCCACACGGGGAGCAGAGCTACGGAGGGTCCCACAGCAAGCCGAGCAGGGTTTGCTCCCGCTGGGAGAGGCCCTCCATCTGCCAGGATGGGCAGTCGCAACCAGCTCTCTGCCCACCTGCAGGGATGCCCTGGATGCACTGGGTCTGAAGCGCTACTGCTGCCGCCGCATGCTGCTTGCCCATGTGGACCTGATCGAGAAGCTGCTCAACTACGCGCCCCTGGAGAAGTGACCCCGCGATGCCGCAGGCGGTGTCTCACCCACGGCTTGTTCCCCTGGGGGGTGGGGCGCCGAAATCCATGCCCGCCCACGGCTCTGTTGGCGTGGGTTTTCCTCTTTGGAAATAACTGTGCAGTAAAATGTCCTGAGGACTGCCAGGAGGTCGTAACAGTTGGTGTGGCTGTGTGGGCTGCCCTGCCGGCTCCTGGGCTCTGCCTGGCACCTGAGGCCACTCGCAGGTGCCCGAGGCCCTCGCGGTCCAGGAGGAGGGTGGGCCTCCCACATGGCAGTGGTCAGCACGAGGCTTCCTTCCTCTGTGGGCGCACTTGGCCCCACAGAAGGCACAGATTCACGAGTGCTCGGGCTGGGGGCACTGGCGTCCCACAGCGCTGTCCAGGGTGCCCTTCAGCTGAGAACAGAGGCCCCCACCTCCTCCCCTGTATCTAAAGCACCGGACCCTGAGCTCCGAGTGGAGTGCCCGCTGTGGTCCCAGCTGCACATCCTGAGGGTGCTGCCACCAGAAGCTTCCAGGCTCCACCCAAGGCCAGCAGGCAGCTCCCCTCCAGAAGGCACACGCCCCCACGGCCAGGCCTGAGGCCCCACAGTGGGTGGGAGGCACCCTGGGCGGCTCTGCCAGCATCTGTCGCGAATGGGCTCTCAGGTGCGTTGCCCTGAAAACTGGCTAGGGAGCTGTCTGGCGGGGGTGGGGAGCAGCTCATCCCGCTCCAGCTGACAGGCTTAAAACCCAAAGCTGTTGCCTCGGCGGGGCTCAGGCAAGCTTTGGTGCCTCCAGCAGCTCAGAGGGAATGAGGGAGGCGGCCTGCCTGGGGCCACCTACCCAGGTGCCTGATGAGCGGTCTGCAGAGACCACCGGGCCCAGCGTCCTTCTCTGGCTCTGCCCTGCCAGCAGACATCCTGTCAGACCCCACCTGACTCGCTCCCGAGGCACCCCTCCCACCCCTGGTCCCTGGGCGGTGGCCAGAAGGGCCTTTGGAAACTGCAAGCGGTCCAGTCCCCCACTTCCTGGGCTCTTAGCCCCAGTCCCTCGCAGCTCTGCCGCATCACCGGCCCTGCGTCTGGGAAGGGCTGAGCTGCTGTGAGGCCTGTCTGCAGCTGGCCTGGCCTCCACCCCCTGGAGCCCCGTCAGCTCTCAGCTCACGCCACCCCGCGTCCGCCCCCTCTGGTGCGGCCCTGGGGGTGGGCCTGTCCACTCTGCCGGACACACGTGACAGCTCTTGGAGACCAGAACTACCTCTGTCAGCGAAGTCATCTCAGCCGTCCGTTCCACAGACGTTTATTGAGCGCCCGTCAAGTAGTAGGAGCAGCCCTAGGCGTGGAGCACAGCAGTGACTATAACCCGCAGGGTCCTGCCTCTGGGGACAGCTGACAGCGGCGACCTAGGCAGTGCGAGGCTGCAGCCGGCGGTCGGCGGGGGGGCGGCCAAGGCCCGGCCCAGAGGCCTCCTCCCCAGCTGACACAGGCCTCAGGGAGCATTCCAAGGCCACGACCTCAGCCCCAAGAAGACGGCGGTGGGAGGGGGGCCTTTGTTAACCCCCAGCCCAGCAGATAGGTGGGGCTGACCTTAGGCCTTGGGACTTTGGTGTGTAGCTAAAGGCACTTGAAGCAGCCTCTGGGGCTTGGGGGTCCCCAGAGGGCACGGTGATGGCCTGGTGGGGGGCCCAGGCAGCAGAACAGTCCCTCCGGCAGGGGAGGGGGCAGAGTCGCCTCCGGGACCGCAGTGTCAGTAGTCAATGCGTCGCGAGAAGCTGCAGCACACGCGGAGGGCGGCCGCCCGTGGGCGTGCTCAGTAGTGCTCCAGCTTCAGGCTCTTGTACAGGCAGCAGGTGAAGAGCATGCCGAACACCTAGGCACACGGCCAGTGTGAGCACGTCGGCCCCAGCCGCCCACACACACTTGCGCACGGGCGATGCCCAGCCCCCAACACACACACACCTGCACACGGGCGATGCCCAGCCCCCAACACACACACACCTGCACACGGGCGATGCTCAGCCCCCAACACACACACACCTGCACACGGGCGATGCCCAGCCCCCAACACACACACCTGCACACGGGCGATGCCCAGCCCCCAACACACACTGCACCTGCACACAGGCGATACCCAGGCCCACGGCCCCGATGATCCTCAGGTGCTCCTGGATGAAGGTCTCTAGCTTGGTGATGCAGCCACCCTGCAGGGGTGGAGGGGCTGCTGAAGGCGGCAAGTCCTCCAGTCACCTCAGGGGTGGGGCCACCCAGCCCCCAGCATCCCAGCAGCTCAGCAGGCCCCCACCAGCCTACCTCCACTTTGTAAATGTTGGAGGCGTGGTCCCGCCGCCCACAGCCAGGCACCACGGTTTTGCAGCAGCTGTCGGGGACCACTCGTCTGTCTGCCTCGGCCGAGCGGATCCACTCGCTGTCCTGCCAGTCCCGCGAGTTGTTGCTGCCACAGCAGTGAAACTACAACAGGAGTAGAACTCAGGCAGAGCCCCGAGCCTCACCCCTGAGGCGGGGCTCCCGCAGCAGTCCGGGGAGGCCCCAACCTCTGCCCCCCCAGCCGCCCACCTCCTGCTGCAGCTTGTCCACAGCACTGGTCACGCCCTCATGGCCCGGCTGGTGGTACCGCTTGGTCATGGTGTTCTTGAGGTTCTCCTTGAGCTCTGCGTTCAGCTGGGGTGAGGGAGGGGCAACTGCAGCCCCGGTCTGAGACTCCCACGTGGGGCAGGGTGGGAGTGGGCGTAGACGGGGGATGCAGGAGGACTCTGGGAAGGGCTGGGCTCAGGGAATGGGCATTGGATGCTGGCTCGGACGGGTGGTTGTGGGGGCCAGGTGGCTGGGAGTCACCCAGATGGCTGTGGGCAGGGTTGGCAGCAGGGAAGGCACTCCAGATCCCCTGCCTCCCCCAGGGCCCCCAAGCAGGCAGCTTGGGTGCAGAGGGCCAGCTGGCCATCCCTGTGGTCCACCCTCCCGCCTGTGACCCCTCCCCCACCCCCAGGGCCTGACGACACCAGGCTCAGCACTGGAGCCTGTATGTCTTTGTCCTTCCCAGCCTACATGCGTGTGCACATGCAGGTCTCCACATGCACGCCCTGCCTGTGCATGTGTGACCCAGGGTGTGGGTGTCTGTGTCCCTATGTACACACGTCTCCTGCACACTCGTGTCCAGCTCACTGCCGTGTGTCCCTGCACGTCCATGTCCAAGCCCTCACCTGCTGGTAGTAGACGTAGGCCAGGACCCCTGCAATGATCTCCAGCAGAAAGATGATCAGGAGCAGGATGAAGTACTGGGGGGAGGTTGCAGGGACTCAGGTGGGCTGGGACACGGACACCCTCGTTCCGTGAGGACTCCCAGTGCCAGGCATGACAGAGCGGAGCCACCACCCTCAGCTGCCAGGGGGCCATGCGGTGGGGGCACTCGGCAGCAGGTGAGGGCTGGGGGACCCCCAGGCCTCCCAGTGCCCCTCCTCAGGTGTCTGCCCTGTGCTGGCCCAGCTGGGATACGGGGACCCACAGGTGGGCAGGGAGCACCTCCCAGGTGAGCACAGCAGTCTGTCCTGCAGTGTCTCATCCACCATTCCCTTCTAACCCCTCCTAACCCAGAACCAACCCCAGGCAGCCTGGCAGGGAGCCCCACCCCCACCCTCAGTGCGGCCAGCCCCGCTGACCAGACGTAGCAGGTTCCTCCGCTCCTTAAAGGTGGCACAGCAGCCCAGAGCCCCAGTCACCATGACGACAATGCCCGCCACCACCAGGATGTAGGCTGTGGCCAGATAGGTGCCCGAGGCCAGCAGGCTGATGTAGTCGCTCTTGAGGGCCAGCGTCCAGATGCCCACGGCCATGACGGCCAGACCAGCCAGCTGCAGGCAGTGCACACCGGTCACCACATCTGGCCCCGGGCCTGAACCCCCGGCCAGGCTCCTTCTGAGGTCAGAAAAGGGGGTGCCCACTGCTCACCCAGAAGCAGCAGTTGAAGGTGAAGAGCAGGTACTTGAGGCAGACGGTGCCACATGTCGTCGACTTCTCCCCAAACTCGCCCATCCTGGGCCCGGGAGGTGGGGGAGGGGCTGCCCAGGAGGACGGCCAAATGCCAGCGGGGAGAGGAGGAAGGGACACACGTCCAGACCAGGCTGGGGCCAAGCCAACTGCCTGCCTGGGTGAAGGTTCTGGAGGCGTCTGTGGGAACCAGGACCCTTCCCAGGAGGGCTGCTCAGGAGCCCCCGCTTCCACTGCAGCAAGGGCAGATGTGGTGCCCACAGCCCAGCTGAAGCCTGGGGGGCCTGGCTTCCCTGACCAGCGCTCAGGGCACGGTGGGGGAGGCATGGAGGACCCCCAGCCACCATGGGCTGACTCAGCCCGGCGGGCAGCCAGGTAGGACGGCCCAGCAAGCATCTTGGGTGAGCTCAGACAGGCCCCCCCACACCCCACCCCAAGCATTCCCCAGGCCCCACGTCACAGGCTGGCAGGATCCTATTGGCTGCTGGGGGGAACGGGCAGGCAGCAGAAGCTGCTCAAAGGTAGATTGATCTGTGCTTTTCTAGCCTAGTCCTGTGGTCTTGGAGAAGGCCCTCAGGCCTCATAAAGGGCCAGCCTTCCTTACTTCCAACCAGAGCTGGCAGGCGCCACCCCCAGACCTGGGAGGTCCTTCCTGAATGGGGACAGCCACAGGGACCCAGGGCGAAGTGTAGCTCCAGCCTGTGCTCCTCCCCAGAGCCACCCCACCCTCTCCTTTCTGGGGTGTCTGCACGAGCTGGGTGGGGACACAGAGGGCAGAAGAGCCCTGGGGCCCTGTTTCCAGACAGACACAGTGCCTCCCGAGCTGGACTTCCAGCTGCCGTGCCCAGCACTCACCTGGCTGGTGGGATGGCTCCTCTGTAGGGCAGGTAGACAGAAGTTCCCACCTGAGGAGGCTCCACTAGAGGGCCAGGGACAGGCCACAGGTCAGGCTCAACCTGGACCAGCAGGATCCCGCCATCCCTCCTTGTAGCTGACCCAGGTATTGGCCGCGAGCCGGCCTTCCAAAGCTGGCAGTGTCCCCTCCGCCCCCCGCCCGCCGAGAAGGGAGTGGCCAGGCCCGGTATTTTGGTCTGGGCTAGGGCGGGGCAGGGCAGAAGACATTTCTGGACAGTCCGATCCTGGGAGGGACCGCACGCCTCCTCTAAGACCCCTAGTCTGACCTTGGCACCCGGCCTGTAGCTGGCCCTTCCCCCACCAAGCGGCAGTGGCTGCTGCCTGGGAAGGGAAGGCGCAGACCCCCGCACCGGCGGACCTGGGCCGGCCCGGGGGTCCGGGGTCCGGGAAGCCTGGTTCCAGGCACAGGCTCCGCCCGCACGGCCCGCCCTCGAGCGAAGGGCTGAGGAGCGGGCCGCCTTTCCGGGAGTGCCCGGAGGTGAGCCCCCAGGGAAGGGCCGGCCAGAAATAGTTCCCGCGGCCCTGGACACGGCCGCCCCACCCCAGGCTCCCGAAGTCCAGCCGGGCCTGTCAGCGGCCCACGCCCCAAGTTGGGGGAATCCCAGCTTGGCTCCCACCAGGCCGGTGAGGAATTCGCGCGTCACCGCGATGAAGTCACCGCCGCCGCCACCCCCACGCCCAGGCGGGGCGCACGGCCCGCCCACTCGCACCGGGCGGACAGGAGGGCACCGGTGTTCGCGCAGTGCGTGGGGTGTTCGGGGGGAGGCCCCAGCCCGCGGGGGCCGCCAGCACCGTCCGGAGACCCGGGAGGCGCCTTGCCCTCGCCTGGCGGACCCTCGGCCCGCCGGGCCTCCGGGCACTCGTCTACCCCCGGTAGGAGCCTGCGGGGCTGCCGGGCGCGCAGCTTCTCCCGGTCGTCGGCGCCCGGCGGTGCACTCACCGGCCACGCGTCCGAGTCCGGTCGAGGCCAGGCGGGCTGCGGCCCGAGGGCGCCCGCCTCGGGAGGAGCGGGGGCTGCGGGGGTCGCTGGGGCGGACGCGAGCCGGCCCGGGGGAGGACCTCGAGGTGCGGTCAGGGGCAGACAGGGGCCTCTCTGGGCGCTGTGCGGAGGACGGCTTGCAGGGAAGGCCTGGGTCACGGCGTGAGAGGGTCCAGACAGGAGGATGTCGCCTGGGAGTGGTGGGGAAAAGCTCGGGAACGAGGGCAGAGGCTGCGACCGGCTGCGCTGGGGAGCTAGAGCAGAGTGGCCGCGGCTCGAGGCGGCACCGTCGGTGGGGACAGCTCTCCCCGGACAGTGGGCGGCCCTCGTCCCCTGCTCCCTGCCCGAGGCTCGGGCTGACAGGGCTGTGGGGCACCGGGGACAGCTCAGGCCCACCCCCGGGGCCTCCACTCAGGACTCTAGTGGGCTGAACTAGCCCACCCAGGGCTGTGTGAGGACTGGCATGGGGAGGGGGTGGCCCTGGAGGCTGGAGGTGGTCAGGGCACTCCGCCCACCGCTTCCTTTGTCCGTACAACCCTGACGGACAGTGAGGGCTTCCAGGCATGGCCAGTAGACACACAAGGACGATGGATGCCTGGTGCGTGCGCCTCCGAAATGCTACAGCTCCCACACACACGGGAGGCCGAGGAGAGCGAAGTCAGTGGACTTTATTCGGAGGAAGGGGTTTTCCACTAGTTTCGATGCGCTGGGGATAGGCTGAGGACCGCAGGGAGGGACATCAGTCCCTGACCCCCCAGGTTAGTTCCTTCATGTCTGCAAGTCAGGCAGGCCGGGCAGCTCACTGGGGAGAGCCCACAGCCTGGATGGGCGGCCCCCAGCCACGCCGAGTCGCCTTCAAGGGGCGGCTTCTCCAGGTAGCCAGGTGAGACCCAGCGAGTCAGTCAGCCTGGTCAGCGGGCACTGGGCAGGGGCGGGCCCAGCTACTGCAGCAGCAGCAGCGGACGCCCAGCAGGGGGGCTGAGCTCAGCGCCTTTCTGCGGCCGCTGCCCAGCCGCTGGGCCTCACAGACGTCCCTCTCGTCTCGGAGCCGCGTGTTCAGCTCCCTGGGGAATAGGAGTCCACAGGCTCTGAGGGGTCTCAAGAGGAAGCACGCTTGGGTGGGGGACGTGGGCACGGAAGGGCTTCCTCGCTGTGGGGGGACTGTGATGGGGGCTGGGTGGGAGCCAGCGGCGGCACGGACCCCTTCCAGACGCACCTGAGGAGCTCCAGTTGCCGCAGGAGGCTGAGCTTCTCTTTCCGCATGTTCCTTGAAACTGCGACCACGTCTCTGCAGGACGGAGGTGGTGATCCGGGTGCAGGAAGGCAACTCGGGGTGCCCCCTGGAGGACCCCGCCCCACAGAGACCCCAGAGGTGGGGCTGGAACGGGGTGGGGGGCGACAGCAGCCCAGAGCTCCAGGCGCTCCCCTCCCCGGGGCCCGCCCCCGAGGGCCCGGCCCGCCCCCGGCACCGTTGGGCTTGCTCGCGGCGGCCCTGCGCGTCGCCCTCCAGTCTGCGGAGCTGCTCCTGCGCGCCCTCCAGTTGCGTCCGCAGCGCCTCGTTGGCCAGCCACAGCTGCGCATTCTGCGCCTGCGCCTCCAGCTGCTCGGAGGTCCGGGCCTGCAGCTGCTGTTCCAGCTGGGGGAGCGGGGGGTCGAGGCTGGAGAGAGGCCCCCAAGTAGCTAGGGAGTGTGTGGGGGACAGTGGGGCTTGGGCCCGGGCTGGGCCGCCATGCACCCCTCCGCGCGGCGGCCGCTCACCTCCCGCTGCAGCAGCCCCGCGCGCTCCAGCTCCTGCTCGCGACTCTGCAGCTCCAGCTCCAGGTGGCCTCTCCGCTCCTCCCGGGGGAGGCCCTAGGACGCGCGGGGACACCTGAGCCCCCGATGGCGGCAGGGGCGCGGGTGGGACCAGTTCCGTCCAAGAAGGCATCCCCGGGGAGACCCGCGCGCCGGGGCTGGGCCCACCTGATCCCGCAGGCACTGGCGCTGCTCGCGAAGCTGCTGCTCCATCTCCTCATACAGACAACGCACTTCCCGCTGGTGCTCGCTCTCCCGCCTTCGGGGAACCGCGGGTGAGACGGCTGCTTAGAGCCTGCCAGCACCACAGCCAGGAGCCCCTCCGGCCGCCCCCGGCCTCCCAGCCCTCACCGCCGCAGAGCCTGCTCCAGGCCGTCCCGCTCTCTGGCCGCCTCCTCCAGGCAGGCTGAGGCGCGCATCAGAACGTCCTCAAAGGAGCCCAGCAGTTCTGGCCGCTCACGCTGCAGCCGGGTCCAGAGCGTCCGAATTGCCCGCTGCCTGGAGGGGGCGGGTAGGGGCTGAAGTGGAAGTGAGGACTCCCCAACCTTGAAGGGTGAGCCCGCAGAGGCCCCTGTAGCCTTGGACAAGCGGGGTGCTCTCACCCCTGCGGGGCTGGCCTGGCCAGGAGGTGTGTGCAAGTGGGGTTGTGTCCTTGTGTACCCAGGGCTGTGCCTGTGCTGGGTGCAGCCGTGACTGCTGACTCCAGAAATGCAAATTCTGCGGGAAATCACGCCCGGCCCACAGTAGTGGCAGCTGAGAGGGCCGGACCCAGTCTGGCCGAGGGTCCCTGCCTGGAAACAGGTGTGCAGGCACCCTGGACAGGCCGCGCGCAGGTGGACCAAGCAGTGGAGGGTGCTGCGGTCAGGCCAACATGGACTTACTCGCCCAGGACCCGGGCCACCCCCAGCTGCTCCAGCGTCGAGCAGAGCAGCTCCTCGTCCTCCTCCGCGGAGCCCCCGGTGCCTTTCACATCCGACCAGCCTGACTCGAAGGTCTCCTCTGGAGCCTGGGAGGGGGTGGGCTCCACCCCCACGAACTTGCCTGCGGCGCGTGGGAGGGAGAAACTGTTACCCCCCACAGCTCAGCCCACCTCCCCCTCACATATCCTGCCCATTCTCTGAGCCTGGTTTCCTGTTTTTCTTCCTTACTCTGGTCCGACTCCCATCCTGGGAATGGGAGGTGACAGCTGGGCTCAGGCCAGAATGAGGCACGCCTGGCTCCCAGCCCTACTGGGATTAGGCTCTGGGAGAGGGGTGGGAGCCGGTGAGCACACCACCGCATCTGGAGGCTCCCTCTGGAGTCTGTGTGTGTGCCCTGGAGGGAGGCCACGGATGGGTGCAGGCTGCTGACCTTGTTGGGCCCCAAGTCACACGTGCCAGTGGGCTGGGGGTGGGGCTCGGGGGCCAGGCTCACCCAGGCCGAGGCAGAACTCCCGAGCGGTGAGGAAGCCGGTGTGCGCCTGGTCCAGGCTTTCAAACACATCCTCCAGCTGTTCGGGAGTGAGGGGCAGGTCGCTCTGCAGGCCCTGGCAGGGCAGATGGCAGGGCTAAGTGGCCAAGGTCAGTCCTGGGGGCGGGCGGCTTCTGGGGGCAGGGGCTCACCTGCAGGTCGTGCCGGGTGATGAAGCCCTTGGCCTCCTTGTCGCACAACAGGAACAGCTCCTGGGCCTGCTCCAGCATCGTGGCTGGGGGCCCCGGGGTGCGCCCCTGCTCCCACCCCTCCGCCTCCTGGGCCTCCCCAGCCCCGGTCTTCCCGGGGCTGGCCATGGAGGTGGGCTTAGCCTTCGGTGGCCTGAGCAGAGCTGAGAAGAGACGAGGGGAAAGAAGGGCAGGCAGAGCGGGTGCGAGGGCTAAGCGGGAGAGGTGGGCACCCAGAGGTGGGGCGCAGAGGAGCCTCCCTGCCCCATGGGAAGGGGGAGAGGGCCTGGCAGAGGGGCCGTCAGGGGGCGTGTGGCCCAACTGCAGGCAGTGGCGCCGGCGGGCGGGGGCCTGGGTGGAGCAGGGCAGGCTCCTGGCCACCCTCGAAGCCGCAGGTGCAGGAGAGGCTGCGTTGGCGGGGGTGGGCCGGGGACTGCTCTAGATCTTGTGACAGAAAATGAGGTGGGGGCTCGCGGGAGGGGGCAAGTGCTCGTGTGAGGAACGGTCAGCCGCAGAGGACTTGAACACGTCCTGCCGACCTGGGCACAGGGCTGACCAGGCTGGGCCAGTGGGAGTACCAGCCCGTCCTGGCTGCTCTCAGCGCTGACCCTGGGCCCCGCCTCCTGCCAGCTGGCGGGCGGGCTGGCTCCACCCTCCCCGCCCACAGCCCCTCCCACCGACCTGGGGCCCCAAAGAGGGCAGGTGCAGGGTCCAACCCGGGCCTCGAGGCCTCCCAAGGCCCTTGTCGGGAACCCCAGGGTCTAGCCTAGCAGTTTTTCCTGCTGGCACCATGCCCGCCACCACACTGGCCGCCTTCCCAGGGGGTGCCGTGCCCACTCATCAGACCACCTGTCGTTCCCACAAAGCCCTGACCCCTGAATTTCCCGAAACCAACCCCCAGTGTGGGATCACCCCCCGACCTGGGACCCTGGGGTCGTCACCCCTCAGTCCAGGACTGTGATTCTCCCCCCCACCCATATTCCTGGGAGAGGGGGACGACCGATAAAGAGGGCGGGTCTGAGGAAGGGCGGGAGAAGGGGACGTGGGCGGAGACCACTCCCCCAGCGCGGGATCGCCACCCCCCAGCGGGGGGCACTCCACCCCACCAGCGGCTCCCTGGCTCCCTGGGACCCGAGGGCCGTCCCAGCTGGAAACTGCGCTGTGTCCCAGCCGCGGAGCGGAGAGGGGAGGACTCCTGAGCCCCCACGCCCTGGGGCCCGTCTGCCCTGCCCTTGCCACTGCACGCCCCCAGGGACACCTGAGTCCCTGGGTGTGATACGCAGGGATCTGTGCACCCTGTGGCGACCTGGTGGGGGGGGGGAATGGAGGTAGGCGGCCAGTGCAGGCAGGGGGACCCGCCAGGCGCCTGCCTACCTGCGAGCTTCACCGCCACACCTGCGCGCACTGGGCTGTCCTCCCGCCAGTACCGAGACCCCGGCAGGTCCGGCCGGGCGGAGCCGCCGCCGCTGTCGCCATGTCCCGCCAAGTCCCCGCCTCTCGGCACTGCCCTGTAGCCCGGCACTCAGCCCGCCGCCCGCCCCTGCATGCAGCCCCCGACCCCCAGGGTCTGTCCTGTCCGAGCCTGAGCTCGTGGTTGGGTGGAGACGACCCCGGGGACACTTCCTGCACAGGGCCAAGGCCGGGGTGGGGGGGCAGTCCTCAGGATCCCGATTTCAGGCGACGAAGAGCGTGCAGGAAAAACCAGGCAGGAAATAGACCAAAATATTTTCAACGGTTATCTCTAGGAGTGGCGTGACTTTCCTCTCTTCCCTGTGCTTCTCAAACATTCTTTTCCCATTTTTTTAAAACAATAAACGAGTAGTATACTACAACATGGGATTTAAATCAGTGCCTTAGAGGCCTGTGTGTGTGAGGGGAGAGACTGGGGGGACTGGCAGGAGGGCCCTGTCTCAGCAGACACCCCAAACCCTCCTTGGGGGCACAGCCTTGACTGCGGCTTCTGTTGGGGGAGGGCTGCCAGAAGGTGCTGGGTGGGGCCTGTGTGTGACCTCCTTGTGCAGGGAGAATATGCCAGCTTCTTCCCAGGGGTCCCCCTCCCAGGTCCTGGCCTGGCCCTGCACCCACCTGGAGCTGGCCTCACGGGGCCCTCCTGGCAGCGCTGGGGGCTGGAGGCCTCCACTCCCCCAGGGATCCTGCTGAACTAGAACCGGCTGGGCCTACAGGACGGGACCTTGAGACCAAGGGGTGGCCCCTGGCACAGGCGCTCAGGGACCTGCCAAGCCGGCTCTCCCGGTCGCGGCCCCAGCCCTACCGTTATTGTTGGCTGGGGGCTGCGACCACGGGGAAGCGCGGAGGGCAGGCGCGGGCAAACCCCAGCAGGAATCAGCTCTGGACCGCCAGCCAAGCGCCCTGCTCCTCTCAGACACCCCCCTTGTCCCATGGGCCCTTGTGGTCACCAAGGGGGGCTGGCCGCATTCCCCTCAGACTGCCCAGGCAGGGCAGAGGAGGCCTCAAGAGCATATCTCACTCACAAGACCCAGCCCCCCTCACCACACCTGCTCCCTCCTATATTCGGGCAGGAGGCTGGGTACACCGTTGGGGGCGGGGAGGCTCCTGATGACAGGGGCAAGACCCACACCTCCCACGAGCCTGGGGCCAAAGGCCCACNCAGGCCCCCCTCCCCCGCGCACCCTCATTGAGCCTCGAGGGCAGGTGCTCCAGGATGTGATCCTCCCTGGGCGGAGGCAGGTGATCCTTCCCAGCAGTCCTCTCCATGGCCACCGCCCCCTCCCCTGCATCTGCATCCTCGGGAGCAGGGGGCTGGCTGGGGGGCAGCGCCAGCAAGGGGTTGGGCCGGTTCAGGAGACCTGGGTGGGGAGGATGTGACAGGCCATCAGCGGGGCTGAGGCCGGCTGGCCCACAGGGGACAGCCAAGCAGAGCCCACCCAGCCCCAGGCAGCCCGCGCACCATTCCGCCGCAGGAAGCGGAGGCCATCCCTGTAGCCCTGTTTGCACATCTCTCGAAGCACCTGAGGCAAGGGGAGGCATAAACTGGGGCAGGGGGCCAGGCACACCCTGTTCTGCCCCCTGGGGTCCCTGGGGTCCCTGCACCATCCCCCCACCCCACCCTAAGCTGACTTGAATCCAGAGCCAGATCCAGGTTGGACAGAGGCTGGACGGGTTGTGGGCTATCGACAGGTGAGGCCCCCGGGTAGCTGTCCCCCATGCCGGTGATGAGGGCAGGCCTCACCAGGGGCTCGGGCGGGAACAGGGCCTTGGAGAGGCGGTAGAGGTTGCGCAGGTTGAACTGGATGCTGGTGTTGGTGACTCGGAGCTCGTGGATGTTGGTGGAGCTGTCCTGCGGGCAGATGTCACTCTCGCCCGAGAAGGGGGACACCGTGATGGTGTTCTTGAGCTCATAGAGCGGCAGGTTGTCTGAGATGCCGCCGTCCACATAGCGCTGTGGCAGGGACACCAGGTCATACAGAGAGGGCCCGGCAGGGGGCGCTGACGGCCCTCCCCCCAGGGCCATTTCATCTGGGCCTTTCACCCACTGGGCACTGGCCACTAAACAGATGGCCAGGCTGTGGGGTTGGGGAGAACAGCCACCGGAAATGTGCATCCGCGCGGGGCTGGCCGGCTCTTGAGTAACTGGGGAAGTGAGGCCACCGACGGGGGGGGGGGGGGGGGGGCCCAGATGGCGCTCCTCCCCACACTCTGGGGAAGTGAGGCGACAGGCCAGCAGGAGGGCAGGGCTGGGGGGGGCACTCATCCCACCCCCCACACGGGAGCTGACCTGCCACCCGGGCGGGGCGCCCAGGGGATACTCACCACCCCCTGGAGGGAAGGGGGGATCAGGCCGCAGTACACAGGGATGAAGGTGCTGCAGACATTGGCCTGGAGGGTAGGGACAGAGAGGGGGCAGTGAGCAGGGGTCTCAGGGTTCCTACTGCACCCCAGTGTGGCCCGCGGGGCCCACCTGGATAAGCTCCTCTTTGGAGTTGAAGTGGGTTATGATGACGTTCTCGCCATCAGAGACACGGGTCAGAGAGATGCCCAGGCGGCCGCTGGCATGCTCGTGGCAATCAGCAGGCAGAGTCTTCAGCAGGCAGCCCCGGATGGTCTTCACCAGGTTGAAGGAAGGGTGCAGTGGGCCCAAGAACCGCTTCCGGGCCTCCTTGGACACCTCAATGATGTTGGCACCAGCCTCACCTAGAATAAGAGGGCCAAGAGTCGGGCCAGCACTCCTGGGCTTCGCACATTCCCCAGGGCTCCGTGCCCAGGGACCACGGCACAGACTCAAGGCGACACTATCCACCCTGGAGGAGCCTCTGTGTCCATGGGGCCTGGCCCACAACTGGGACACCTGTTCCTGGGAAGAGAGGGGCTCCTGGGAGGGCACAGCTGAGGCCATGGCCTGCCCTCTGCCCGGTATTTCCCAATTCTCTCCCTGATCCATGAATCACAGAGCCTGGCCTGGCCTGGCATCCAGCCCCACCAGGAAGGGTAGAAGCCACAGGCTCAACTCTGAGCAGCCTCAGCCTTCACCCACTTGGCCAGATCCAGATCCACAGACCCTAGTGCCGCCCGGGGGCATGAAATCAACTCGCATCCCATTGCAGCCCCTCCACATGGCTCTGGGGGCCATGGGCACTGGCCAGGGACAAAGCTGGAGTAGGAGCCGGCTGGGAGTAGTCAGGGCGCAGGAAGGCCCCGGAGGCGCTAGGATCACCCCTGGGGTCAGGAGTGCGGCAGGGTGGAGGCTCCAGCTGCCCAAGACCACTGGCACTTGTGAGAAAGGTTTCTTGGGAGTGTGTGTTGGGGGGAGGTGCCATGGGAGCTATGTCCTCAACAAGGTACCCCGGACCTAGGGGTGTCCTGAGACCAACAGGGGGTTTGAGGGGCACCCGGGGGAGGCCGCCTGGAAGGGAAGGGGCGGGGCCACAGGGTGAATTTCGTGTCCGGGAACCTGGAGCTCTGCTCCTCCCACCCCAACCTCTCCGGGCGAAGATCGCCGGCAGTGGGGAGGAGAGAACTCTGGACAGGCTCCTGCTGGGCGGGGCATTCCAGAAGCTAATGACCCCTCTGTCACTTTGGCTGTCTCCTGGAGAACTCCGTGTGCCGTAAACATCACTGGCAAGGGCCGCCGTAAGTGTGGATGGAGGAAGCTGACTCTGGGACTTCAGAGTCTCCACGCGCCTCTCGCCCCATGGAGGGGGCAAAAACGTCTCGCAGCAGCCACGGACCCGGCCCACAGTGGGCGATGTGCCAGGAGCGAGAGAGCTGGAGAGAGCTTGTGTTGGCCAGGCCCAGGCCTGACCTGCCAGGTCCTCCTCCAGGAGTCCTCGGGAGGCACCAGGCCACAGTGTCCAGACGCTCTCTCAGAAGCCAACTCCATACCTGGCCCCGGGGCCATGGCAGTCTGGAATGCCGGAGCCCCAGAACACAGTGACCGCTGGCACCCGGCCTTACGCCCGGGGCAGGCGGACGGCCTAAGCCCCACCCCGACTCTCGAGGTCCCGCCCACGAACTACTTTCTCTTTCCAATGAAATAACTCCTGCTGCACCTGCCCGCCCCCCAACCTTTGCGTCCGAGAGGCGGGCCCCAGGCGGCAGCCTCGGCCCAGAGGCGCGTCGGGCCCTACCCCAATTCCCCGGCACCCTTGGAGCAAAACAAGGCAGGCCCCGCCCCTGGCTGTCGCCCGGAATTGGACCCTCGGCCCGAGTCCCGGGTAGAGACCCCTCCCACCTCCCCATGGTGATTGAAGGGGCCTCTCCACGCTCGCGAGGGGCATCCGCCCAGCCCCGCCGGCCCCCTTACCCAGGCAGGCCCCGGTGACCAACGCCGTGGCGGTGAGCGCCCCGGCCGAGGCGCCGTAGATGTGCGTGGCGTTGGCCACCAGGAAGGGCGCGTGCTCGCGGAGGCAGGAGGCCACGCCGATATGGTACACGCCGAGGAAGCCGCAGCCCGCGAACGAGATGTTCCACGTCGTCTCCTTGGGGAACATCGCGGCGGCCCGCCGGGCTCCCGGGCTCCGCAGGCCGCCCTGTGCGCCGCGCGCTCGCCGCTCGCTCTGGAGCCGGGGCTACACCGGCCGCTGGCGCCTCGGTCGCTGTGGCTCGGGGTCTCAGCCGGCGGAGTTGGGGACTCTGCGCGGAAGCTGCGATTTTAGCGGGGGGCGGGGCGGAGCCGGCTCACGCGGGCCTATCGGGGCGCGCGGGGAACGGCCGCGCCCCCGGCTCCGAGGCCACGCCAAGCCCGAGGCCCCGCCCTCGGCTCGAGGCCACGCCCTCCCCGGAAGCCAACCTTGACCCGGAGACTCCGCCCGCTGTCCAGCCCACTGGAAGCGACACCCCGCGGCCCCGCCAAAGACTGTAGCCGAACCGGGACGGAAGTATACGTCCCCCACCTCCCGCTGCCTTCCCCCGCCCCCCACCACCGTCAACGGCGGAAAGGGGCGGACGGGGGCCCAGAGGCGTGGGGACGGCCGCGCTCAGACCCGGGACGTCGGCAGCTGAGCCTGACAGCCGGGAGTGGAGGGCGCTGCTGTCCAGGCAGCATCCCGCCTCCCTCAGGCGTAGGCCTCCGCCCGCCCGGGACACCGAGGAGCTCGCCGCGGGCCAGGGACCTGAAGGACCCACCGACTCATCCCCAGAATGACCCGTAAACACACAGGGCTGCGTGCAAACCACAGTTTGCGGAGAACACCGAGTCTCAGACCCGCAGCAGACCTCCCGGCCCGGCCAACTCTACCTGGGCACTAAGTTGGTTTCCACCCGCCTCCTGTCCCAGCTCCTCAGGCTGTGGGGTCTACTCCGGGTGACTCCAGCCCTGACCCGCCCTCACTAATTGCCCAAGCAGGTGCTGGTAACGTCACCCTCCCACCCCCTTCCGCATTTTTCTCCTGGATTGCAGGGCAGGGCTTAGCCTGACTTGTATCCAGAGACCAGCCCTGCACCTCACTTGTTTACTGGCTCTGTCCCGTCTGACTCTTTTTTGTGACTCCATGGACTGTAGCCCACCAGACTTCTCTGTCCACGGGAGTTCCTAGGCAAGAATACTGGAGTGGGTTGCCATTTCCTTTTTGGGATCTTGCGGACTCAGGGTTCAAACCCATGTCTCCTGCATTGGTGGGATTCTTTACCACTGAGCCACCAGGTCACCCGGCACCTCACTCCACCTCCCAAACAAGGGGCTTACCTATGCTGAAGTTAGGGGTGCATGTCACCCCTGACATTTGCTCCCCAGGCGGCAGGAGTTTGGCTCAGGACCCAGCCTGGGGCCGCTCCCCAGTCAAGCCCAGGCAAAGCCAGAGCAGGACTTCCCCAGGACAGGGCCATCTGGCATCATGCCAGCCAGTCCTCAGCTCCAAGCCACCGCGCCTGGCCTGGGAGCCTGCACCAGCAGAGCAGTGAGCAAAGTCAGCAAGACCAGCCCCACTTGGGGAGGGGGTTGGGCTGAAGTGGGAGAGAGTGTTTCCACAAGTTCAAGTAAGGACTGAGAAGGGTGAACCATGGGAAGGCAAAGGGCCACCCACCCTGCAGACCCTCAAGGGCCCTGGGTGGGAGGAGGGGAGGGCAGCGGGGTCCTGGGAAAAGAAAAGGGAGGGCAGAGGGTGAGGGTGTTTGACTTAGAACCCCGAATGCTTTGGATGGAGGTGCAGCACAGGATTGGGGTGCCTGAGCCCTTGGGGAGACTGCTGGACACAGCAGATGAGGGGGGACACAGTGGAGATGGAACAGACCCCCAAGGCCAGCCTGCAGAGCTCAGGGGGTCACCAGGGTGGACCACCAAGGAGGAGCTGGACACGGTGAGCTCAGCCAGGGGCCTAGGAAGGCTGTCCCCACAGCCTGCGGTGGGAGGCCAGCATCCAGGCCTTTTCTGAGGGAATGAGGCTGTGCTGCCCCAGTGCGGGGAGACCTCTGTTCCCATTTCCACACGCTAGCTGACTTGTTTTGGGTACATAACCCTCCCTTCAGGGCCTTGGGACCAGGAGTTCTGGAGCCAGGAACATCGAGCCCTTCCCAGAATCCTGCTTGTGGAGTGGGAGGTGGACCTGCCCCTTCCCCCGTCAGTACAGATGAGAATCCCTCGGGCTTGTTGAACGCCAGGCAGGGGTCCTCTGCCCCCACAGGGCTCATTTCTTCAGCGGTTGAGCCTAGGATTGTGAGTTCTGCCCCTGGACGCTGGGTCCACTCTTCTGAGAGGGGCCCCAATACCTTGGCCTTGGACCACAGCCCTGGGTCAGCTGTGTCCCTAGGCACATAGAGCCCCCCAGCCTCCACACCCCAGACCTCTTCCCCTTACCATGACCCTCACCCCTGTCCAAGCCCCCACTCCTCAGGGCAGCACCCCTGCCCTGGGGCCTCTTCCCAAGGTCCCTGCCCCTCTGCTCCACAATCTCCTATGCTGCACTCACCACTCGCCTCTGAAACTGAGCCCACAGCTCCATAAAGGCCTACTGCATGCAGGGTGAGCTCCGAGCACTTACCCACCACAGCACAGCCTTCAGAAAGGCAGAGGATCTACTGGGTGGCCTGGCATTGGTGGGCAGAGGCCCAAGGCCTTGGCAGTGAAGACTGCCAACAGCTACAGGGCCAGGATAGTGAAATGAAGAATCGATGTCTTCAACTGTGGTGTTGGAGAACACTCTTGAGCATCCCTTGGACTGCAAGGAGATCCAACCAGTCCATCCTAAAGGAAATCAGTCCTCAACATTTATTGGAAGGATTGATGGTGAAGCTGAGACTCCAATAGTTTGGTCACTTGATGAAAGGAACTGACTCATTGGAAAAGACCCTGAAGCTGGCAAAGATTTAAGGCAGGAGAAGGGGATGACAGAGTATGAGATGGTTGGATGGCATCACCAATTCAATGGACAGGAATTTGAGTGGGCTCCAGATGTTGGTGACGGACAGGGAGGCCTGGTGTGCTGCAGTCCATGGGGTCGCAGTTGGACGGGACTGAACTGAACTGGGCAGTGAGAGGGCCTCTCCCCTCTGCCCCGTATTCTAGGCCAGAACCTGGCAGAAGGTCATGGGCAGGCCTGCCACTAAAGGACCCGAAGAGCATGCGGCCAGCACTGCTGTCTGCAAGCCACTTCCATATCTGCCCAGCAAAGGTAGTGGCCACCAATCAGCTGGGGACACTGAGGCTCAGAGCAGCGGCATGACACCCGAGTTGCTCAGGAGCTAAGGTGGAGCTGGGGTGCTGACTCAAAAAAGACCAGGAGTCCGACTCCTACAGTGGAATCCAGTTGCACCACGTCCCCTTGTGTAACTGAAACCACTCAATCTGATGGGAACTGCTGGCCTCAACTGGAGGCACCCCGCCTCACAGAGCAGAGGCCACCCTCCCCAGGTTCGGAAGCTTTTCTGGACGGGGAGTCCCCCGAGAGCCTTATTCCCTCCAAGACCCTGGCAGTCCTCAGGAGCCGCGACAATGTCCAAGAATAAGGCTCAAGGCTTGGCCATACTCAAGACCCTCAGAAGTGCCCCCTCCCAGGCTCCCCACTCCTGGCTCTTCAGACTCCACTGAGCAAGGGTCCTGGTTCATCCCAGAACGAGACAAAGATGCAGAGACCACACTGACATAGCACTCACAGATAACTCAGGAAATACATAAAAAGGGTTTTATTTGCAGGGAAGCGGGACTCTAGTCAAACAAGCCAAAGCCCATGTCGTCATCTGACTCCTCCGACTCTTCCTTCTTCTCCTCCTTCTTCTCCTCTGCTGTGGGGAGAAAGCGTGGTGAGCTCAATCGCAGTGCAGGCCACACACCCGGCAGAGACAGACTCCAGGGCGTGTGCACCAACAGCTCTTGAACCTCCACTTACCTGCGGCTGGAGCAGAACCTGCAGCAGGTGCTGCGGATCCTGGGGCAGCAGAGACGGCCACAGCCCCGCCTGCGGGCACACTGGCCAGCTTGCCAATACCTGCAGAGACCCAAGGGGAGGTGAGCCCAGAGCAGGTGTTCTGCCTGAACGTCATCTCAAAGTGAAGAGACACTGTCCAGCTCACTAGGGTCCATGTAAGATTCCCATTTTCCCAGACACTAGAACCCCCCCAGCACACCTGTAGGTCCACAGTGCCCTACCCGGGAGGTAAGCTGGACAAACGTGCTTATGAGCAGGCAGGTAAAACCCACCGTCCCAGTGTCCAGATCCTCAGCCCCAGCAGTGAGCTCACAGACGAGGCTGCCTTTGCCCTGTCATGGACCCACGGACAAAAACAGCTCCCCCAAAGCTCAACTTCCAATTAAGTCCAGCTCCAGCCTGACCTCACAGGGCAGGGGCCTGTGGTCAGTCCTAGCCCCCCACAGGAGAGTGGTGAGGCTTGTTTACAGAATCCCACTGAGAGCACAGGCGCCCTGCTGCCCTGCCCGGGTGGTTGTCTAGAAGCGCCCATGGCAGGAGCCCATGGCGACCCTGCTCACTCCTCTGGGTAAGGCTTCTAGGGTGCTCTGGTCCACAAGCGAAGCCTGGCAGGTCACAGGCTGACCAGCAAGGATTAGAATGGACCGTGAAAACGAAAGCCTCAAACACAACCTCACCCTGGGCAATGACGTCCTCAATGTTCTTTCCGTTGAGCTCACTGATGACCTAGAGCAGATGAGGAGTAGGGTCACCAGAGGCCGCAACCTCACCCCACCCCCCGCTCTGCAGTTATGACCCACTCAGGACAGGTAAGATAAGACACCCCACACGTGGAAACTAATTCCAAAACTCACTGCTGAAAAAAATGCAAAATATCTCACTTTACACTCAATACATATCAAAATAACCTTCACTACGTTGAGTGAGAGCTTCCCCGGGGGCCCAGTCAGGAAAGATTCCACCTGCAATGTGAGAGACCTGGGCACCATCCCTGTGTCGGGATGGACATTCCCCATGGACAGAGGAACCTGGTGAGCTGCAGTTCATGGGGTGGCATAGTCGGACAGGACTGAGTATAGTGTATTTTTTACTTCCCTTGTAGCTCAGTTGGTAAAGAATCTGCTAGCAGTGCAGGAGTCCGCCTGCAATGCAGGAGACCTGGGTTCAATTCCTGGGTTGGGACGATCCCTTGGAGAAGGAAATGGCAACCCACTCCAGTATTCTCGCCTGGGAAATCCCATGGACAGAGGAGCCTGACCGTCTACAGCCAACAGGGTCGCAACAGTCCGACACGACTTACCAAGTAAACCACCACCATATTAAGTTCAAAACTATAAAGTCAAGGTGGACTTGTTTTCACTTAAAAAAAAAAAAGCTTTCACGTGACTTGTTCCCACTGAGCCACGCTAACGCGGATTTGACTTCATCTCCATTTTTTCTTCCTTTGGGCTGTACCAGTACATTAGGACACTTCCAAAACCACATGGGCTGGCAAAGGCCTCCCACCAAACCCGCGGCAACCTACTTCCCTGGGTTGGGTAGGAGAGGGAGCCCCGTATGCGGAGTAGAGGGTCGGCGGGGCCTTCGGGCCTCTGCGAGGCGGCTACCTTGTTGAGTCGGTCGTCGTCTGCCTCGATGCCCACGCTGTCCAGGATCTTTTTGATGTCCTTGGCGCTGGGGGAGGAATTGCCCCCGAGAGCGGCCAACAAGTAGGAGGCAACGTAACGCATCCTAGCGCATGAGACAAGGACAACGGCATTACGGGCGGCCTCGGGTCCCTGCGAGGTCAGTGCCGGGCCGCCCGCGGCTGGTGCGGACCCGCTGCCGAGGCCTGGCCCACGCCCTGCCCCGCCTGCCCCCCGCGGCACTCACGACCGCGGCCAGGCCCCGCGGCCCGGCCCTCCCGGCCCACTCACTCAGCGGTGGCAGAGCAGCCTCGCGCGTGCGACCTCGGCGGCGTCAGCGACGGAAAGGAAATCGCCGGTGCTGGGGGTGGGAGTAATTCGCTACCCAGAAGCCTCCGGGACTTGCGCTCGGCGCCCCGAGAGGGCGCCTCCTAGTGACGTCACGAGATGCCTAGCCAATGAGGACGCAGGAGACGCCATTATCCCGTCTGTCGCGCAGCCGCCACCGCAAAGGCGGAAGGCAGTTTCAGGGCTGTCTTCGTGTATATAGTGGGGTGACTGCCGCCCGAGATCCCTGGGGGAAGTGGGGCTGAGAGAGGCGCGAGCCAGGAGTGTAGCGTTTCCTCCCTTCAGGGTTCCCAGGATGCCACGCGGCGCCTATAGCTCCCAGCATGCAGTGCGGCCTCCGTGCGCTGCTCGCTTCTCTGCAGGAGTGGCGGACGCGGCCGGCGAACTACAAGTCCCATGGTTCACGGCTACCGGAAGCGCGGGGGCGCCTCTGCGGGCCGCACGTGGCCCGGCGCCGCTGAGGAGGTGCGGCAGGCTACGCGTACGAGAGCCGGCTGTCCGGCCGGGCCCCCGTCCCGAGCGTTCACTCCGCGGAACCCAGCCGCTGCTCCCCCCATCCCTAGTGCCACGGCGGGGACCCCGGGTGAAGCTGGGAGGCTCTGTTACCGCCGCTCGGAGAAGCGGAGCCAGAACCGTCCATGCCCGTGTGACCCGCCCCCACCCGGGCCTTGCCCTTTCGGAAGTGACATCAGCTTCCCCGCGGACACTGTACACGATGCTCGTTCACTGCCTGTCGGGGACCTTGCTGCAGGCTGGCGTCAGTCCTGGGGGCGTGCAGGCCCGGTTCTGCTTCCTCAGAACTTAGGTTCTAGTGCGCGGACACAGAGTAGTTAAACGAGGCAGTCCTAACTGAGGTAAACCCTGAGCGAGGAGGGCTGAAGGGTGAGCGAGCGCCTGTTCTGCGAAGATCTGGGTGAGCATCAGGCCCCAGGAGTAAAGGCCTTGCTAAGGTGGCCGGAGATGGGTTCAGAGGCAGCAGGCAGCCCAGGCCAAGCCCCGATGTGATAACGCAGGCCCCACGGAAACCCCATTATATCGATGAGTGTCGGCACAGAAAGGTTTTTTTGCTGAAGGTCACACAGCTGGGGTAAAGTGAGGAACACCATCTGGCAAGGATGGGACTGTTGCAGTCACACGGGAAAGTGGCCTGTTGTGTTTTTTTTTTTAATGGTACGATAATACATACTGTAAAGCCACTTTAATCATACAGTTTCGTGGCACTAGATGCGTTCACAATGACCATCACACGGCGTTCAACTGCAACCATCACCACAGTGTATCTCCAGAACTTTTTTCCTCTTCTTGAATTCTAAACAATAACGCCCCATCCCTCTCCCAGCCCCTAGCTCCCATTTACTTTCTATTTCTATGTTGACTGCTCTAGGGATCTTACATAAGTGGAATCATACAGTATTTGTGTCTGGCTTATTTCATTTAGTGTAATGCCCTTAAAAGTTCATTCACATTGTAACATGTGTCAGGATTTCATTACCTTTTGTTGCTCAGTCCTGTCGGATCTGCAACCCCATGGACTGCAGCATGCCAGACTTCCCTGTCCTTCACAGGGTTTGTTCAAACTCATGTCCATTGAGTCGATGCGCCATCACTCATTACTTTTGAAGTCTGAATGATGTTCCTGCGCGCGCGCGCGCGTGTGTGTGTGTGTGTTTATTCTGGCAGCTATGTGGAAACTGAAGGGGGAATACGAGTTGGGGAGAACACAGGCCTAGCAGGAACTGCCCGTCCAGGTGGGAAGGATGTTGGTAGTTGGGGAGGGTGGCGGAAAGAGGGTAGAGGTGTCATTTGGGGCAGAACAGGCTGGGGCGGATGTGTATGTTCACAGGCACCTGTTCTGTGAGGTGGAAGGGCCAGTCGGGAAGGCTTTCTCGAGAGCCAGATCTGGTCCTTGACCGTGGCCTTGGGCCACATCTGACCTCCCCCATCTCCGTTTCCTCCCTTATGAGACGCTGAGAAAGAAGGAGGCAGCCTATGGGGAAGCCCGCTGGGGGCGGGGGGCTGGGAGGTGGCCCAGAGTGCTCCCGTAAGGTAGGGTCATGGAAGGTGGGCCCTGAGCTCTGCAGGGCCTGAGAGGAGGCCTTTGGGGGCTGGCTGGGGACCTCGGTGCTGACCTCCGGTAGGAGGTGGGTGTGGGGCAGCAACTGCGATCAGCCCTCAGTACCCCCTGCAGCCAGAGATCGCACTAGTTCATTTTAACACGGGGCCGGGAATGCATAGCCAGAGCAGAGCGGGTCCAGGGCCTGAGAGGTTGGGGTTTTTGGCGCGAAAAGCGGGCCTTCCCGCGGGAAGGCAGGTCGCACAGACGCACGCCGGCCAACAGGAAGCTGAGTGCGGCGGGGCGGTGTGTCCGGCAGAGGGCGGGCAGGGCGGGCGGGACCCTGAGACCACTGCCGGCGGACCTTTCCAGCGCGAGGCGAGCTTCCCACGCGGCCGGACCCGGAAACGCGCCGCCGGGAGCGCAGGTGCGCGGGCCGCGGGTGCGTCTAGGGGACGCGGAGGTTGGGGTGGGGAGGGTTGCGGTGCGGTCTCTCCCCCAGGACACGCCCCAAGCGGTGGGGGCGGCGACTGCGCGGTGCACGGACCTCCCCTGCGGACCGAGGTGCGAGCTGCAAGTGGCGGGAGAGTCCTCCTCCAGGGGCCAGGAAGTGGGTCCCGTCCTCAGGATCCCCCTCGCGCTGCTCGGACAGACGCGGGCAGGATCATTCGTGTCCTTGCCTGGGCCACCGGCCCCACGTGGTAGATGAGAACCAGTGCCTCCGGTTGGAGCCGAGAAATGTGAAAGGTTGGAGGTGGGCCTCTGGTGCCCGGCAGGCGGCGTTGCGGGGGTCTGGACTAGGAGCCCCTTGTCAAGTTTCTAGACTGGGGGTGTGAGGCCTCCCTCCCTCACTCCCTCGGGCTTGTCCTCAAGCCCCTCTGCACTCACAGGTCTCCTGCCTGCCACCTTCCCAGCCCCAGGGAGTTCTCTTCCCCAGCCCATGTCAGTGACAGTCTGTCCAGTCTAGGCGTTGGACTCTGGACCAGTGGGCCTGGCTCCCTCCAGCCTGAGTCCCCCTTCCTCTGGCTGTGAGGACGCCCAGCCCACTCCTCCCCCTGACTCTGCAGCCTCTTTGGGCCCTGCCTGAGCAGGCCTGCCTGGCAAGCTGGGACATGTCTGGCCCCGGAGGACGCCTGGTGGGCGATGGCTGCAGTGGAGGCGGGGCAGGTGCCCGCGACGTCGGCCCCAGAAGATGCTGCGAGAGATGCTCCAGAGGCTGTGGGTGCAGGGCCGGAGGCGCCCCTGCTCCCAGCCGGAAACCGGCTGAGCCTGCACCTGTACCCCGGGGGCTGCCGCCGGCTGCTGCGCCTGTGTGCCCAGCAGGCCCCTCAGCTGCTGGAGGTGGACTTCCTGCAGCTGAGTGGCCACGAGGACCCTCAGCTGCTGGAGGCCACCCTGGCCCGGCTGCCTTGGAGCCTGCCACACCTCCGCTCCCTGGTCCTCAAAGGTGAGCCCCCCCAGTCCCAGCCCTGTCCCAGCCTCTTTCTAGCTCCTGCCTCTGCTTCCTGGTCCTGAAAGGTGGACCCCGGCCCCAGCCCCAGCCCTGTTCCCTGCACAGCTCTACCCAGCCGTGTTCCCCCAAGAGGCAGCTGACTGGGCCCGGGTTCCCGGCCCCAGCAGCTGCGTGGTGGTGCCTCCAGCAGACGCTGGGGCAGGTCTTTTTCCAGGGCTGGGTCACGGGTGACGGCCGTCAGCTGAGATGAGGCCGCGCCGTCTGTGCTTGCCTGCTTCACTCACCGGGGGCCCTGCAGCATCTGTCCGTCTCTCTCTGTTGTGGTGGGGTTGGGGTGGAGCTCTGTGTTTCCATGCACCCGTTTCCCTGGCCGGCAGAGCTGGGCTCACCTGGGTCTCTGACTCTGAAGGCCACGTCTCTCTGCCTTTCCCCCATCAGGTGGGCAACGTCGGGATGCCCTGGGTGCCTGCCTCCGGGGGTCCCTCACCACACTGCCCACCAGCCTGAGTGGCCTAGCCCACTTGGCCCACCTGGATCTGAGCTTCAACAGCCTGGAGACACTGCCGGCCTGCGTCCCCCAGATGTGTGGCCTGGACGCCCTCCTGCTGTCTCGTAACTGCCTCTCAGAGCTGCCCGCGGCTCTGGGGGCCCTCCCATCCCTCACCTTCCTCGCCGTCACCCACAACCGCCTGCGAACGCTGCCCCCAGCCCTGGGAGCCCTGTCCAGCCTGCAGCGCCTCGATCTCTCTGGGAACTTGCTGGAGGCCCTGCCCGCTGAGATCGGAGGCCTGGGCAGCCTGGCCGAGCTCAATCTCGCCTCCAATCGGCTGCAGAGCCTCCCTGGCTCCTTCGGTGAGTCGCGGCCCTGGTTCCCCTGGCCCAGTGGGGAGTGCCTGTGGGCCGCTGGCTGCCCCGCCCTCCTCCACGTGCCCTGTATACCCGGGCCGGCTCGCCTCCCCGGCAGCCCTCGCGTGCTCCCTGCTTCCCTGGCTGTGGAGGCTCCCCCCTGCACAGGCCTCCCTGAGCTCTCTAGTCCAGCTACAGGGCGGAGACTGAAAGGGCTCCCTGGGCGGCTGCGGTGCGAGCTGCCTGGACTGGCGCTTGGGGGCGGGTAGCCACGACCGTCCTCCGCTGGCCCTGAGCTGGCGCCCCCCGCAGCTGGGCTGCGGGCCCTGCGGCTCTGCATTCTGCACAGCAACCTCCTGGCTTCGGTGCCCGCCAGCCTGGCGCGCCTCCCGCTGCTCACCCGACTCGACCTGAGGGACAACCAGCTCCGGGACGTGCCCCCTGAGCTGTTGGACGCCCCCTTTGTGCGCCTGCAAGGAAACCCCTTGGGCAGGCCGCCTCCTGACCCCCCCAGCCCCCCAGGTAGGGTTGCGGTGGGGCTGGGGGCAGACCACAGTCAGGGCGCAGGTGTCATCACTGGCCTAACAGCCCATCTGTCCTTCCCCAGGGACACCCATGCTCCCAGAAATGCCCAGGCTGTTGCTGACCTCAGATCTGGACAGGTATGGCGTGAGGGAGGGGCTGGGCTGGAAAAGCCTCTGTCCACCTGCCACGCTGTCCTCGCTGTACACCTTGCCCAAGCCTCGGGGGTCTCCCACAGGTGCCTGGGGCGCCAGATTCAGACCTAGGGGACCCTGCTGTCTGACCCTGTGCCCACCTGTCTTCCCTCAGCTTTGCCGTGACCCCCCAAGGCTGCTCCGTGACCTTGGCCTGCGGCGTCCGCCTGCAGTTCCCCGCGGGGGCCACTGCTGCCCCCGTGACCGTCCACTACCGCCAGTGGCTGCCGGAGCCGCGGCTCGTGCCCCTGGGTCCCCACGACACTCTGCTCAGCGGTGTCCTGGAGCTGCAGCCCCACGGGGTGGCCTTCCAGCAGGCACGCCTGGGGTGGGGCGAGCGCGGGCGAGGGCCCCAGCGAGGAGGGCCCAGCGTGGCCCTGGCGCTCACGTCGCCCCTCGCCTGGCAGGAGGTGGGCCTGTGGCTGCTCTTCGTGCCCCCGCGGGCCCGGCGGTGCCGCGAGGTGGTGGTCAGGACACTGAGTGACAGCAGCTGGAGCGACCTGGAGACCCACCTGGAGGAGGAGGTGCCCCAGGCGGGGGCGGCCCGGGCCGTCTGGGAAGGGCCGGCTCTGCTCCGGCCCGCCGGTCCCGACCGTGTGCTCCCGCACCAGCGGCTCTGGGCTCACTGCCAGGTGCCCCACTTCTCCTGGTTCCTCGTGGTTGCGCGCCCCGTGTCCGATGCCTGCCTGGTGCCACCAGAGGGGGCGCTGCTGTGCTCCTCAGGACACGCTGGGGTCAGGGTCACCTTCCCTGCTGGGGCCACAGAGGAACCCCGGCACGTCCGCATGCAGGTAGGGCCAGGACACCCGCTGGGGTGGTGGGGGCGCCTGGGCACAGAAGTGACCGCTCGGGCCACCCATCTGCTCCAGGTCGTGCACGTGGGCCGCAGAGAGCTGCCGGCCCTGCTGGGGGAGCCCGAGGCGGCCGCCAGCCCCCTGCTCTGCCTCTCGCAGAGCGGCCCCTCGAGCTTCCTTCGGCCAGTCACCGTGCAGCTGCCTCTGCCGCCTGGCGTCACAGGTGAGGGCGGCCGTGCGGGCACGGGGCAGGGCGCTGCTCAGAGGGGCGCCCGGCCAGAGGCCTCAGCCGGCGCGCCCCCCACCCCGCCTCCCCCTGCCCAGGCCTGAGTCTGGACCGGTCCCGCCTGTACCTGCTGCACCGGGCCGCCTCCACGGCCACCTGGGACGACATCACCGCGCAGGTGGCCCTGGAGCTGACGCACCTGTACGCGCGCTTCCAGGTCACGCGCTTCTCCTGGTCAGTGCCCCCACCGCCTCAGCCCCCCCCACGCCCCCTGGCCTGCAGGCCCCCTCACCCTCGCCTTCCCAGGTACTGGCTGTGGTACACCACCAAGACCTGCGTGGGGGGCCTGGCGCGGAAGGCCTGGGAGCGGCTGCGGCTGCACCGCGTGAACCTCATCGCGCTGCAGAGACGCCGGGACCCCGAGCAGGTCCTGCTGCAGTGCCTGCCCCGCAACAAGGTGGGGGCAGAAGTGGCGGGCTGGGGGGGGGGGCGTGGTGCAGGGCATCGGGCGCCCAGCCAGTGGGTCCCCCCCACCCAGGTGGACGCCACCCTGCGGCGGCTGCTGGAGCGATACCGTGGCCCTGAGCCCTCGGACACCGTGGAGATGTTTGAGGGGGAGAAGTTCTTCGCCGCCTTCGAGAGGGGAATTGACATCGACGCAGGTGTGGCCCCCAGCGCCCGGAGCAGGGATGCTGGGTCTGCCCCTGAGTCCCCGCTGAGCCCCCCTGTGCCCATAGACCGCCCAGACTGTGTGGAGGGCAGGGTGTGCTTTGTCTTCTACTCCCACCTGAAGAACCTGAAGGAGGTGTACGTGACCACCGCCCTGGACCGACGGGCTCGGGCCGTGAGGGGCCAGGTGGGCCAGTGGGGTGGGCGCCCCGGGCTGCCCGGGCTGAGGCCAGAGCGCTGAAGCCCCCCTCCCCCCCCAGGTGTCCTTCTACCGGGGCGAGGTGCCGGAGGTGGTCCCTGAGGAGGCAGAGGCTGCCCGGCAGAAGAGGGGCACAGCGGCCCTGTGGATGGCCACTCTGCCCATCAAGCTGCCCGTGAGGCCTGGCTGGGGAGCCCTGTGTGGAGGGGCTGGGGGAGGAGCCGCCGGGGTGGGCTGGGGTGAGGCCGGAGCTCACTACCACCTCGACTTGCCCACAGAGATTGCGGGGATGCGAGGGCCCGGCCCGGGGGGCTGGCCTCTCCCTGGCGCCTCTGAACCTGGGCGACGCCGAGACTGGCTTCTTGACCCAGAGCAACCTGCTGAACGTGGCCAGGCGCTTGGGCCCCGACTGGCCAGCCGTGGCCCTGCACCTGGGCCTGCCCTACCGTGAGCTCCAGCGCATCCGGCACGAGTTCCGGTGAGTTCTGAGCCTCTCGTCCTGCTGGCTTCCTGCCAGAGGCTGCCTGAGGTTCTGTCCAGGGAAAGGGGGCAGGGCAGATGGGCAGGGTGGACTTGGCCACCCCTGGCCCACGGACCAAGGCCCCAGTGCTGGGAGGGAGAGCAAGGCCCTGGGCGTGGTGGGTTGTCTTGGCAGGCACCCCCCTAACTGCGCCCCTGTCCCTCCAGGGATGACCTGGATGGGCAGATCCGCCACATGCTCTTCTCCTGGGCGGAGCGCCAGGCTGGGCAGCCGGGGGCCGTGGGGCGCCTCGTGCAGGCCCTGGAGCAGAGTGACCGGCGGGATGTGGCCGAAGAGGTGCGGGCTGTCCTGGAGCTTGGCCGCCACAAGTACCAGGAGGGCCTCCGGCACACGAGCCTGGCCCCCAGGAACCTTGCCTCTCCTGACCAGTCGCCATCACCCTCCCCAGAGCCTGCCCAGACCTAGACCCCAGACTTTGGGCTGGACCCTGAGGCTCCCGCTTTCAAATCTTCCCTGCGTGTGAACAAAGTGACCCCCCCACCCGTGTAACACACATACAGTGGCCTGGTCGCTGTCTCAGCACTGACTTTCTTGGGTGGAGAGGCCAGGGGTGGCCAGGTGATCTGAGGTCTGGCCCTGCTCTGCTGCAAGCAGGCCTCTGTACAGAGTTCCTTCTGCACAGCTCTCATTCCTGCTGGTCTGCGCCCAGCGCCTGCATTGGGTCCTGATCGGGGAGGGAGAGGAGTCCCAGCTACAAAGTTAACAGCTTCTGCCCCATGAATACAGTCGGTCCTGTGCCGGATTGCACATCTGCCTTTTGGTTTGGGGGCCTGCTGCTTGGCCAGTTGAGTTCGCACGGCTCCTCCCTTAGGGACACTTCGTCCCAGCGCACCCTCCATCCGCTGGCCCGACGGGAGTAGTCCCTGGCCCATGCACCCGAGGGGAAGTCGAACGCCCAGTGAAAACCCTTGGAGATCTAGAGCGCGGGCTGGCGCCGGACTGGGGTCTGCCGAGTGCAGTGGCCGTGGCGGCCAGGAGGGGGAGCCGGAGTCCGCGAGCCGGCCGTGGTGGCTCCTTCCGCTGAGCCCACCCGAGTGCAGTCCGGCCGCGGGGGCCAGGGGCACCACGGCGGCTGTGGGAAGTGACATCTGCCCGGACGAGGCGGTTTCTGCGGAGCCCGCGCCGGCGGATGCTCGGATCCGCTGCCGCCGGAGTGTGGGAGGCCGGGCCCCGGGCGGTGCCGGGCGCGCTCCCCGCGCACACGTGTCCTCGCCGGTCGGGAGACGGAAGCTAGTCCCCAAGGAACGAGCCGGGCCGTGGGGGACATTCACGTGGGGCCCTGCGGGATGTACGTGGACACGTGGGTGGCTAAAGTCGCCATCGCCTGGCGGGCTTCAGCATGGCGATCCGGGCCCCATGAGGACTTCTTCCAGCTGGACGGGGAGTTGAGCCGGGCTTCCAGTCGCAGCCCTGAACCCCCACTCCGCGCCTCCTTTGTCGCCGGGTTGGCGCCCCTCCAGCCGTTGGGACTGAAAGTGCCTCCCCGGGGCAAGGGGATGGGGGGATGAATGGGGAGGGAAGGGCCAGCAGCAGACTTGGAGCCTCACAGCCTTTTCATTTCTTGGGGGTGAGGGAGTCCAGGGGCTTCTTTCGTGGCAGATTTTACTTCCTGGGGGGGCTGGAGGCATGATCCTGCGGGTGGCCTCTGAGCTGAGCTGTCCACAGCTCAGCTCAGAGTTCGCCTGCAACGCCGGTTGAGGACGCTGCGGGAGCCAGGGGGGGACAGGGAGGGTTGACAGCCCGGGGCCTCAGGCCTGGCTGGGGCTGCCCGGTCTCTATGGCAACCTGGGGTGCAAGGGGAGGGCCCTCCGAGCTCTCATGAGCAGGTGGTAGGAACCACTGAGTGAGGACAGGAAAAAGAGGCTTCCTGGTCCAGAGGACCCCTTGCCAGTTCTCCCCTGGCAGAGCCCCTCCCCACACTACTCGGTTCTAAAGCGTCTCCCCCATCCCAGCGCGCAGAGTGGGACCCAGCTGACATGACGGTCTCAGGCTCGGATCTCCAGGCCTGCCTCTATTCCCAGGACAGCTGCTCCCCTCCCCACCTTGGAGAGTCTGTCCGACTTCCGGGACCCTAGCATCCAGGTGTCCCTTATCCTGCACAGGGGGTAGGGTCTGGTGGGCTTGCTCAGGTCCAAGAGGGCAGAGTATGGACCTTGTCCCCAAGGATCGGGGACAACAATCGGCTGTGACGTTTGCACCTGGGGAGTGGGGGTGGGGAGAGAGAATCAGGTTGAAGTGCAGAGATCAGGCTCTTCTCTAAGACTGGGGCACGGAGGCTCTGGGTAAGTGGGGTGGGAGGCACCTGCGGGGGCAGAGGGCTTTGGGAGTGTGGGTGGCAGCCGGTGGGTCTCTGTGATCCAGCCACCCCCTGGCCTTTGCAGCAGACAAGCGTGTCTTCTCCGCTCCTGCATGAGTTTTCCCTGAAATGCACCTCCCAGAAGACACACGGTCCACAGACACAGGTGGGCACAGCCCATCTCCACCCCACAGCTGCAGATTCCCTGTGCCCGGGTACAGAGAGAGCCCCATTCCTGGGGTCCCAGGGCCCTAACCAGAGCCCGCCTGCTGGCCGCAGAGGAGCAGCTGGGTGCACGGTGGCCGCGGGCTGGGGCCCCTCGAACCGGCTGCGTGGCTTGGCTGGGTTAGCCCGTCAGACCCGCTGCCTCACGGGCTGAAGGGGGCTCGGAGGCCAGCCCAAGCCTCCCAGAAGCTGTCACACCCCCTTCTCATCCTTTCTCCCGCGGCGGCAGGGCGCCTCATCCCGCCCAAACTGAAAGAGAAAGTCGCCCCCCCGCCCCAGACCCGCCCCGCCCCGCAGCCAATCCCCGCCGCCGGCACCGCCCCCGGCCGCTGGCCCTCCCCCGCCCGCCCGCGGGCTGGAGTCTCCAGGAGGAGCAGTGGAGGAGCCGGTCCTGCGCGCCCGGGGTGAGCGGGACCACGGCGGGGGCGGCGGGCTGCCGCGGGGGCAGGGGGCCCCCCCGACCCGGGGAAGCCGGGGTGAAGGTCACTGGTCCGCGAGCGACGGCAGGTGTGAGCCAGCCGTGTGACCCGAGTAGCGGCTCGGCGGGTGCGAGGCAGGGACAGCTGGTCTCGGCGCGGGCTGGGGGGCGCCCCCCGCAGGAGGCCCCTGGGATGGCTCTGGGTCCCCAGCCCTGCCCCTAGAGAGAGGGGCCTCCTGGGCCTGCCCCCCGGGAATAAGTGGTGGACCAGACACAGGGAGCCTCAGAGGGTTAGCCATCCCCCGCCCTCTTTGGCGGGGGTGGCTTGTGGGGGCCCTCCTTGGGCGTGTGTGTGTGTGTGTGTGTGTGTGTGTGTGTGTGTGCGCGCGCAGTCAGGGGCTGAAGTTCCTGGGAGGGTGGGCACAGGGCTGGCTGTGGTTGCTTCTTCAGGGGAGCGGTGGTCTAGGGCTCCAGCCTGGATTTGCCACGGAGCAGGGCCTGCACCTGTGCTGGCAGCATCTACCTGGGCAGCTGTGAGCTGAGCCCCGCGGGGGCCCTGGGGCTCTCTCACCCCCATCCTGACAGAGCAGGCTGCTTGAGAATGGGGTTGGTACAGCCCAGCCCAGGGGAGGAGGCGCCTGGCCCTTTAAAGGGCTCCTTGCACGTGAGCGTGAGCAAGGCCAGCTGGGAGGACGCGCTGGTGGGGGATCTTGAGAGGAAGCCAGGTGGCCCAGGGATGGGGCCAGGTGGTGGGCCTCACGGCACGCTGCGAGCCCACAACGTGTGGCCCACCCAAGCGGGGTTGGGGACCTGGGGGAGCCGCTCGGAGCCCCTGCGGGGGTACCTGGGAGGGAGATGGGCAAGCCTGTTCCTCTGGTGTGCCTCTCCTGTCTGCCCACCCCCGCTGATTGCAGTCCCCTCTCTCCTAGGACAGAAGCGCTGGTTTGGAAACACCCTTGAAAGCAGAGGACCTGCCTCTGCCCTGCGCTCCCTCCCCCACTGTCTGGCATCCCGCTCCGCGGCTCCTACCTGGGTGCTCCCGAGTTAAATGGCCGATAAGCAGATCAGGTCAGAACCCAGCCCAGCCTCACCCCACCCTGCCCTCCCTCCCTGCTGACCTATGGCCGAGGAGGCCGCCTGACCTCCGTCTGCCCACGCAGCCTGCCAGCCAAGCTCATCAATGGCGGCATCGCCGGCCTGATCGGGGTCACCTGCGTGTTCCCCATCGACCTGGCCAAGACGAGGCTACAGAACCAGCAGAATGGCCAGCGCATGTACACCAGCATGTGAGCCGGCGGGCTGGGGTGGGGGGGAGGACAGGCCTGGGGGTGCTCCTGCCCGGATCAGCTGGACCCTGGCTGATTCCTGGCTCATTCCTCCCCCCCCCGGGGCTGCAGGTCCGACTGCCTCATCAAGACCATCCGCTCAGAGGGCTACTTTGGGATGTACCGCGGTGAGGCTGGGCAGGGGGCGGGAGGGCCTGGTATGACGGTGGGGACGTGCTCCGTGGGGGCTGGCTGCACCTGCACAGGGTGTGGGGTGGGGAAGGGCAGCACTCAGCCCCGTCCTCCACCGCTGCCAGCACCCAGCATGGCGGGACCTGTGTGTCCATCGCAGTGGCCTCGCTGCCTCCCGGGACAGGCAGGACCCTGTCTGTGCCAGGACACTGGGGGAGGGGGGCAGGGCCTGACTGCAAAGCTGCTTAGGAGACACCACCAAGCCTGGATTTGTCCAGACGCTGTGCAGCGGAGTCCTCACATAGAGAGGGCCTCCCCAGCTCTGGCCCACCCCAAGCTGGTCTCTAGACGGCAGGGGGGTGTTCCTCACGAAGGCCCACCCGCTGGACCGGGAGGGTCGCCTGGAGGAGGAGGCGCTACCCCGTCCCCGCTGGCCCCCGCCCCTGCCAGGCACAAATGTGGGTGAGCGGGCGGGGGGAGGGCTCTGCCAACTGAGGCGAGTGCCCGCTGAGAGCCTCCCGGCCCCGGCCACTGACCCATCCGCGCGCCACACAGGAGCTGCTGTGAACCTGACCCTCGTCACCCCCGAGAAGGCCATCAAGCTGGCAGCCAATGACTTCTTCCGATACCAGCTCTCCAAGGACGGGTGAGGGGCTCGGTTGACTGCTGGGGGCCACAGTCACGAAGGGAGGGGAGCTGTGCCTCCAGAGGACAAAAGCTCGGTCGTCCTGGGGGCCCCTCACCCAACCTGCAGGGCTTCCTCCTCCTCCTCCGATGCTGAATCCGTGGTGCTCAGGCCCCAGGGGTCCTTGGCCCCTAGCCATTGCCTGCTGCCCCTTGTAGGTGGAGATTTGGGGGGCACTGGCCAGTTTTCCCTGTCACCTGAGGGTGCAGCTGAAAGGGCAGTAGTCCCACGGAGCCCTTGAACCGCCCACCCCGCCTCCAGTTTTGTTTGCTGAGAACAGTCCTCAGCCCATCCCTGGCCCCGCTGTGAGCCGGCTGTCTCTCGGCTCGGTGCCTGTTACTGGAGGGGAGGTGGGGGGAGCTGCCTGTGTCTTCACTGGTCCCACCCCCTTCACGTCCCCCAGCCGCAGGGGCCTCTGACTCTGCCTTGCAGCCCCACCCTCTTTACTGCAGGCAGAAGTTGACCCTGATTAAGGAGATGCTGGCGGGCTGTGGGGCGGGCACCTGCCAGGTGATCGTGACCACCCCCATGGAGATGCTGAAGATCCAGCTCCAGGACGCGGGCCGCCTCGGTGAGGGTGTGGGGGAGGTGGGGCGTGGGGGGACACCAGCTGGACCCCGTCCCCACCCCCACCCTGTGCTTGGAGGGAGACCAGTAGGCCGCCCCCTTTCTCCCCAGCTGCCCAAAGGAAGATCCTGTCTGCCCAGGCCCAGCTCTCGGGCCAGGGGAGTGCCCAGCCCTCGGTGGAGGCTCCAGCCACGCCCCGCCCCACAGCCACGCAGCTGACCCGGGACCTGCTGCGGAGCCGCGGCATTGCTGGCCTCTACAAGGGCCTGGGGGCCACGCTGCTCAGGTGGGGGGCAGGCAGGGCGAGGGGAGGCCCACCCACCCACCCATCTGCCCCACACATCCCAGCCAGTCACCCCGTGGTCCCCCCACAGGGACGTCCCCTTCTCCATCGTCTACTTCCCCCTCTTCGCCAACCTGAACGAGCTGGGCCGGCCAGCATCCGGGGAGAAGTCGCCTTTCTACGTGTCCTTCCTGGCCGGCTGCGTGGCTGGGAGTGCGGCCGCCGTGGCCGTCAACCCCTGTGATGGTCGGTGCCCAGCTTGGTTGGGGCGGGGCAGGGCGGGGCTGGGGGTGGGTCCAGGCTGAGTGCCCACGCTGACCCGCATGCCCCTTGCAGTGGTGAAGACCCGGCTCCAGTCGCTGCAGCGTGGCATCAACGAGGACACCTACTCGGGATTCCTGGACTGTGCCAGGTGGGCGAGCCCCGAGGGGTGGGGAGGGCAGGGCGGCCCCAGCGTCGTGGCTCTGACCACCCCCCATTTCCCTGCAGGAAGATCCTGCGGAACGAGGGCCCCTCCGCCTTCCTGAAGGGCGCTTACTGCCGCGCCCTGGTCATTGCCCCGCTGTTCGGCATCGCTCAAGTGGTCTACTTCCTGGGCATCGCTGAGACCCTGCTGGGGCTGCCACGCGTCCAGCCCTGAGCCTGGCACCCGCCCCTCGCCCTCCAGTCGAGCAGGACCAGAGCGGGGCCCAAGGCAGGCAGCCCCCCCAGCGGGGAAAGCACGAGAGTCTCTCCCCACCCGGATGGGTGGGGGTGGGGAGAGGGGGAGTGCAGGTGTGTACACACGTGCCTGGTGGGGTCCTGCCTACACAACCCCCGGGATCAATGTCTTACATACTTAGAAAAGGCCGAAACCATTACATTCCTGGAGCCAGCCCTGCCCACCTTTGCCCCAGTCTGAACAACCCCCAGGGATAGAGCTGGTCTCTGGACTGGGGGCCCCCAGCCTGGGCTGGGCAAGCTGGACCCTCCCCTCCAGTTTACCAGCTCCTGTCCCCGAGGCTTGGCCCCTAGCCCACAGAGGGGACCCCACACAAACCTATTTATTAACTTGCCGAGCACAAGCGGCTCTGTCCACCCCTCCGTCTGTCCGTCCAGCCTCCCCCGCTGCTGTTCTCTTGCCTTGGCCAGCCTTGCAGGAGGATCGGGCTCTCCTGCCCCCCATATTGAGCCAGGAATCCTAGACTGGGGGTGGCCCTGAGTGCTGACTCCCAGGACAGGTCCCCCGCCCCCACTGTGGGACCCAGCCCATGTGAGGTGTGTGTGTGTGTGAGAGAGAGAATGTTGGGGGCAGGCTGTGGGGTCTCCAGCCGTCCCCATGTGGCCAGGCAGTGTGTGTGGAGGAGCGTGTGAGTGCGTGGGTGTGTGCCCTTGACTCCCCAGTGACCCCGTCCAGGAATCCGTCTCCACCCGCCCCTACTTCTGAAGCCACGCCCCCTCCAGGACCGGGTGGGCCAGGGGGAGGGCAGGCATGAGGACCAGTGTGGAGCCCGGGAGCATCTTCTTCTGGGGGGCACCAGGAGCTGCCCCTCCCGTCTTCCCCGGGCCTAGCCTGCCCTCCGGGCCTCTGCTTAAGGCTCCTGACCACACTTAGTAAAGCTCCGCCCTCGATGTTGTGAACTGAGGCAGCTCTTCCAGACCTGCCCCGCCCCCAGCCACGTGGTCGTGTTGGTGATTGATCTGATGTGGCGGTGCTGTGTCCCCCACCCCCGGGCCCCTCCCCGGAGGCCCCTTCCCAGTGACACTACCTGGGGCTCAGGCCTGGGCCCCCCAGTTCACGGTTGTTCCTGGGAGCTGCTCTCTCCCGTCACATCTGTACCTTGGAAGCTGCTGCTGCTGCTTACAGAATTATATATTTTTTCCTTTGAAGAGTTTTAAGAAGTTGTAACTTTTTGTGTCTTGTCCTGTAAGAAGATAAATAAATATTCTAAGTAGATGCCTCTTCTCCTAGACTCTTGGGGGTGAAGGGCATCCCCCTCGTGTGGTAACTGGCTCCCCTCCCCCTGCCGTCCTGAGTCCGCCTGCCCAGCCATGACCGGCACACTGGCTGTAGCGGAGCCTAGTTAGAATGGCCTCCTGACTCCCTCGAGGTCTGATGGGGATGCGAGAAAGCCAGCCTCAGCCGCTCACCTTCTTGACGACAAGCCGCCCTTCGGATCAAAAGCGGAGCTGGGTTTGGGGGCCCCAGAAGTCCCGGCCGCTCCGGGGCGCTGTGGTGACCACGAGCAAGTGGGCGGAGCCCACGCTGATGCGGTCCCCGCCCCGCTCCCTGCGCCGGGAGCAGTGCATTGTGGGAAACTCCCAGTCCTTGCATCCGCAGCCGCCGCCCGCCGCCGTCCGTCCGGTCGGCCGTGGTCCCGCAGAGAGCGCGCGGCCCTGAGGTGGGAGCGCCGAGCAGCAGCGTAAGGCGGCGGGGACTCGGCGGCGCGGGATCTGGGGCGGGAGCGGGGCGCGGGGCCCCTGGACACAGCGACGGTTCTCCGCTATGAAGGTCACCGGGGGCGCTCCGGGGCCCCCTGCTCTTCTGGGCGCAGCCGCCTGGAGGGGGAGGGGCAGCCGGTGACGTCAGTATGAGCCCAAAATAACCAAGGGTCTGGGGGAGGAGGAGCGTGGACCACCTGCCCTTTGGGAACTTGATGCCCAGCAGCGGGGTGCCCCTCCAGAATGACAGGGGTGAGGGGCTCTTGGGTTCCCTGGAAGTGGGACAGTCCTCCCCAGGACACTCCCGTTCCCGCGTGTGACCTTCAGGCGACCTTCACTGTGTCAGTGTGCATTGCCAGGGTGGGGTCCTGGGCCGCTGCCTCCCACACAGGCTCCCTCCCCCGGCAGGCACAGGTGAAGTTCCTCAGCCTCCCAGAGGAGCTGCGGACAGCGGGGTCTGTTTCCGGGAGGAAAGACGGGTCCAGAGTGGTGAGGCCACCAGCCCCCTGCCCCACGCCCGACTCTGTGGATCAGGACCAGGCCTTCCCTACTGCCCAGAGCGCCCAGTCTCTGCCTGGCCCTGCCTTGGGGGTGCCTGCCCCAGGCTCACCCCAAGGACTCCGTCCTCCCCCAGAGGCAGGCATGACCTCAGGGTCAGAAAGGGATCCCCTCTGTGAAGCTGGAGCAGGCAAGGCCGGTCCTGGGGTGGGCGCTGAGAGGGGGGTCCATGACCAGCTGGGAGCCCAGGCCTGTCGCTGCCCTCCCGCTGGCTTCTCCAGCCTCTGGGGAGACACCCTGGCTTTGTCCGATCGGGGTCCTGGTGACCTTGGGCCCATTATGACCCCATGTGCCTGAAAGCCCAGACTCTGGGTTCCCACGCTGGCCTCCCACCCCAAGCCCATCCAACCCCGAGGAGGGTACACCGTCAGTTCTGCCCAGACCCATGGGGTGCCAGCCACCTCCCCAGCCACACACCCTCCTTGGGTCTGGGTGGGTGCTCTCTTTCCGGTCAGGACCTCCCCACCATGGGCTGACAGGATGGACACAGGACATGCGTGGGCAAGACCATTTCACAGATGAGGGAACTAAAGCCTCTAGCAGGTCTCATCCCAACACCCCAGCCCAAAGGGGGCCCATGGCACCTGCCTGTGTGCTCGGAGAGGCTTCTCAGGAGGTGGCTGAGGCCAGTTGGAGGCTGAGCCTTGGGAGAGGAGGGTCCAGAGAGCTGAGCGGGTCTCTAGACAGGACACCGGTCTCATCGGGTCTCCCCCTCAGGTCCATAGGATGCCCAGGGGTGAACTGTCCTGAGCTGCCTTGGTCCAGACGCCTGCCTGCCCCCGCGTTCCCTGCACAGCCCGCCCATACACCCAGCATGGAATCCAGAGGGAAGCCGACCAACAGCCCCAAGGCCGACACTAAGGCCACGGCTGAGGCCCGAGCCCCTGCTGCCATGGACGGGAAGGCCCCGTCCTCTAAGCCAGGGAAGAAGGAGGCCCAGGCGGAGAAGCAGGAGCTGCCAGCAGCCCCCACACCGCCACCTGCCAAGAAGACCCCGGCCAAGGCAGACCCGGCCCTTCTCAACAACCACAGCAACCTGAAGCCGGCCCCTGCGGCCCCCAGCACCCCTGACGCGGCCCCCGAGCCCAAGGGCCCTGGGGACGGGGCTGAAGAGGGCGAGGCCCCTGGTGGGGGCCCCGGCGGCCGAGGGCCCTGCCCTTTGGAGAACTTGACCCCACTGCTGGTGGCCGGGGGCGTGGCTGTGGCTGCTGCAGCCCTGATTCTTGGGGTCGCCTTCCTGGTCCGAAAAAAATGATGGCCGGTGGCCAGCTTGGGCACAGCCACATCCTGTACAGACCTTGGGAGTCTAGTGCATGCCGAATTCACACACTGCTATCTATACATATGTAATACCTATAGTGTGTCCCCCACATACAAGCAGAGGGAGAGAGAGGTGGACAGGCCCCGACAGCTGTGGAGACCCAGCCCCCTCGAGCGGTCCCCAGCACCTACCCCTCCGAACCCGAGGACAGAAGGAGCCCAGGCTCTGTGGGTGGGTCCCTGACACAGGGTGGGGGCTCCGCGTGGAACCAGGCACTGGTGGACAGACAGAGAGGCGGGCTCTGAACGTGGCCTGCCTGCCCAAGTGTGCCAGCCTGTGCCAAGGGCCCCAGTGGTCCTGTGATCTTCCTGGCAGCAGCTCCTGATGAACCCCCACGGTAGCAGGGCTGGGCAGGAGCCTGGGATGGATTCTGAGCTGGGTCCAGCCAGCCTGGGGACATTAAAGGGTGTGGCTGTTTGTCCCATTTCCGCTCTTTGCGTGTAGCCAGGATGGGGGTTCCTCTGGGTGGGCTGCCTCAGTGGGCTGATCCAAGGTGGGTGGTCACATTAGCTGAGTTTCCATTGCCTCCTGCCTGCTTACTTGAGCCCTGGCTGGGTGGACAGAAAGCTCACAGGCTGGTGTCAGAGGTGCTCTTGAAGTTTACCTTCTGGCTGGAACCCAGGGGGCCCCTGAAGCTGGGCCCTACACTTCCCGTCCTGAACCCCTCCCCATTCTGCGGCGGTTGCCCTGGGGACAAGTGAGAGCCTGGCGGGGAGGCAGCCGTGCCTGCCCAGCGCCCGCAGACGGCCCCTCCTGCCCACCCAGGGTCCTTGGGGTCTAAGAAGCGTATAAATGCAATAACAGGTTGAATAGAACCACTGGGCAGGCAACCATCACCCTCGGCCACAGCCCTGTCGAGCCTGCAGGGAGACTGCGCTCTGCTGGGAGCATGTCTTGGTGGCAGTGGGTACTGGGAGCCCGACGTGCCCTTACCTGACCAGCTGGCCACTGGAATCCTGGGCCTGAGTGGAGGTCAGTTTGAAATAAACTGTTATCTAAAGACTGGGCTGGTGTCCTCAACTGCATGCGGTCGGGAGAGGCGGGGCGGCCTGTCTGGGTGTGGGGTGTCACCTATCCACACCACAGGCTTTCCAGGGAGGGCCAGGGCCCCCCGGTGCCCCGCCCCAGCCCCTCCCACCACCTGGTGCCCTTGACCCGGGTGGGTTCCACCTGTGGCTCTGCCCAGGCCCGGCCCTACCCAGATGGCTGCGGCCCGGGCTTCCTGTCAGCCCTGGCCCTAGAGGACCCAGGCCCAGCTTGCAGGACCCACCCCCGGCCCGGACCTTGGGCCACCGTACCAGTGCGTGGGGTTGACTGGCCTGGAGCCGTGTCGGGAGAGGGGGCCGTGCCCCCTGCTGGGCCTCTGTGCCCCACTCTGCAGCAAGCTCGTGTCCCTGGGCGGCGGGGGAGGAGGCCGCTGTACGGCTTGGGGTTCCTCCTCCTGCCATCCTCCCCTGAGCCGACCCGGCCAGGCGTCCAACTGGGGGTCTTTGGGTGCAGGCTTCCTGGGAGCAAGGCTCCCCACCCCCGGGCTCCGGAAGTTTCTCTGCCTTTGTCAGCCTGGGTCACTCCCCCCACGGGCCTCCTAAAGCTGCTGGGCTTCCTCTCCGGGTACTCACCCCTGCCTGTGCACCCACACCTCAGGCCCATACAAACCTGGGGCGCTTCCCTGGGGCACGCGCCCCTCGCCCTGAACCACCTGGCCCAGGCCCGGCCACCGAGGGAGGCGCTGGAGCGCACGGCTGCAGCCTCCAGCCCGCCTGTCCACAGGCCCTGCAGCCGCCCATGCCGTCCCTCTCCAGCCAGCTGGTCCCCTCTCCCGCTCCCTCTGTTCCGCTTGCACCTTAAATGCAAAAAAAGAAAACAAGTCTCCTGCCGTTGTGGAGACTCGGGGCAGGATGGGGGTGGCTGTGAAGGTGAGTTCTGTCGCCACAGCCAGGAGCTGAGGGTCCGGCCCTCCAGACGCAATGGCTCTCTCAGGGCGCTGCCTCAGTTTTCTTAGTTTTCCTTTTTTATCTCTGTCTGCGCTGGCTTCACTGCTGCACACGGGTCTTCCCTAGGTGTGGCGAGTGGGGCTGCTCCCTAGCTGCGGTACAGTGGCTTCTGGTTGCAGTGCGGGCTCAGCAGGCGTGGCCACAGGCTGACTTGCTTTGAGTCAGGTGTAACCGCACCAGGGACCAAAGCTGTGTCCCTGCGTTGGCAGGCAGATTCTTCAGTCAGTTCAGTTCAGTCACTCAGTTGTGTCCAACTCTTTGCGACCTCATGGACTGCAGCACACCAGGCCTCCCTGTCCATCACCAATTCCCAGAGTTTACCCAAACTCATGTCCATTGAGTCAGTGATGCCATTCAACCATCTCTTCTTTGTCATCCCCTTCTCCTCCTGCCTTCAATCCTTCCCAGCATCAGGGTCTTTTCTAATAAGTCAGCTCTTCACATCAGGTGGCCAAAGTATTGGAGTTTCAGCTTCAGCATCAGTCTTTCCAATGAATATTCAGGACTGATTTCCTTTAGGATTGACTGGTTGGATCTCCTTGCAGTCCAAGGGACTCTTGAGTCTTCTCCAACACCACAGTTCAAAAGCATGAATTCTTAGGCACTCAGCTTTCTTTATGGTCCAACTGTCACATCCATACATGACTCCTGGAAAAACCATAGCCTTGACGAGACAGTCCTTTATTGGCAAAGTAATGTCTCTGCTTTTTAATATGCTTTCTAGGTTGGTCATAACTTTCCTTCCAATGAGTAAGCATCTTTAAATTTCATGGCTGCAGTCACCATCTGCAGTGATTTTGGAGCCCCCCAAAAATAAAGTCAGCCACTGTTTCCACTGTGACCCCCATTTTATCTTAACCCTGTGGGTGCACAGATTCCGGGCACT